GTATAGTTATTTGTTTTTTTTTGTTATTTTAAAGAATGTTATAAAGATGTGGGAATAAAATGACTTAAAGTATAACAAGGGGGAGGGGTATGGGTTATAGATGAATTAAAGGATATATAAATGGAAATAACACGTATGGAATCGTGTGTCGTCATTATATGCTCTTGAATGTCTCCCCTTGAAAAAATACAGTAAAAAAAGGAAATCAACAACATGGAATTCGACCAGGGGCACCCAAACTTGCATACGACTGCAAATTACTTTGTCATAATGTTACTATGCATTTTTTCTTCAGTGAGTCTCACAAGAATGCAGTGTGTACCTTTTTTAAAATAATTTTTTTAACTTATTTAAGTTTTTCTCAATATAAGAAGCCTTTATCACACATGCATAACATAATAACATGGAAAAAGTGTGGGGGGGGGGTGGGGGGCCCAGCTTACATACACAGATGTTTATGCTGACTGAAGCTTTACCCACATTTCAAAAATAGCACAGTAAATTATACAAATGCTCTCATTAGAATGAAGAGAGATCTGACCCATTATACACCAGAAAAGGTTGCCAAATAGTATAGAAGACGTTCGTTTTAGAGCATAACACCACATAAGGTGTGTCAAGTGGTCTAGAGATACATGCTCAAAAACAGCTCTGTGCCAGCTCGATATAGAGGGTATTTCATCTGTTATCCATTGTAATAAAGTACATTTCCTTGTGCAGAACATTAAAACATAGAGAGTTTTTCTTAAACTTGGCAATATAACTATTTGTCAACCCACGCAATAAACACAGTGGGTCCACAGTTCCAAAAATCTTCTGTACGCACTGATACCGAGTCTGTACGCACTGATACTGAGTCTGTACGCACTGATACCGAGTCTGTACGCACTGATACCGAGTCTGTACGCACTAATACTCAGTCTGTACGCACTGATACTGAGTCTGTACGCACTGATACCGAGTCTGTACGCACTGATACCGAGTCTGTACGCACTAATACTCAGTCTGTACGCACTGATACCGAGTCTGTACGCACTAATACTCAGTCTGTACGCACTAATACTCAGTCTGTACGCACTGATACCGAGTCTGTACGCACTGATGCTCAGTCTGTACGCACTGATGCTCAGTCTGTACGCGCTGATACCGAGTCTGTACGCACTGATGCTCAGTCTGTACGCGCTGATACCGAGTCTGTACGCACTGATACCGAGTCTGTGCGCACTGATACCGAGTCTGTGCGCACTGATACCGAGTCTGTACGCACTAATACTCAGTCTGTACGCACTAATACTCAGTCTGTACGCACTGATACCGAGTCCGTCTGCACTGATACCGAGTCTGTACGCACTGATACCGAGTCTGTACGCACTAATACTTAGTCTGTACACACTGATACCGAGTCTGTACGCACTGATACTCAGTCTGTACGCACTGATACCGAGTCTGTACGCACTGATATCGAGTCTGTACGCACTGATACCGAGTCTGTACGCACTGATACCGAGTCCGTCTGCACTGATACCGAGTCTGTACGCACTGATACCGAGTCTGTACGCACTAATACTTAGTCTGTACACACTGATACCGAGTCTGTACGCACTGATACTCAGTCTGTACGCACTGATACCGAGTCTGTACGCACTGATATCGAGTCTGTACGCACTAATACTCAGTCTGTACACACTGATACCGAGTCTGTACGCACGGATACTCCGCTTTACGTCACTGTCCGGTCTGTACGCATGATACTCATCTGTACCACTGATACTCAGTCTGTACGCACTGATATCGAGTCTGTACGCACTGATACTCGAGTCGTCTGTACGCACTGATACTCAGTCTGTACGCACTGATACTCAGTCTGTACGCACTGATATCGAGTCTGTACGCACTGATACTCAGTCTGTACGCACTGATACCGAGTCTGTACGCACTGATACCGAGTCTGTACGCACTGATACCGAGTCTGTACGCACTGATACCGAGTCTGTACGCACTGATACTCAGTCTGTGTGCACTGATACCGAGTCTGTACGCACTGATACTCAGTCTGTACACACTGATACCGAGTCTGTACACACTGATACAGAGTCTGTACGCACTAATACTCAGTCTGTACACACTGATACCGAGTCTGTACGCACTAATACTCAGTCTGTACACACGGAACAGATGAATTTCTGAATGTCAGTGATGTTTATCTTACGTTTATCGTAACGCTGTTACAGGACGATGACCGCTGTGAAGAATGGGAACGGCACGAGGCTCTTCACGAGGACGTGACGAGTCAGGAGCGCACTAAAGAGCGGCTGTATGAGGAGGAGATCGAGCTGAAGTGGGAGAAAGGAGGATCAGGGCTGGTCTTCTACACAGACGCTCAGTACTGGCAGGAGGAGGAGGGAGGTACGGCACTGTTCTCTTCGCCATTAACCTGAGCTCACCTGGGGGAGTTACCCTAAAACATGGGTGCTCAATCCTAGTCCTGGAGATCTGCCACCCTGGAGGGTTCAGATTCAACACACCTGGCTCTAACATTCAGATAATCATGAAGGCCTTCATTAACTGGATCAGGTGTGTTTGGAGGTGGAACTAAGCTGTGCAGGGTGGAAGATCTCCAGAACCAGGGTTGGGCACCCCTGCCCTACAAAATCCATTACAAGTGACGTCTCTGAGACTTGAATGGATTATTTTACTGATTATTAATCTTTGTTTCTCATTACTGTAATTCTCAGTTACTCTCTAAAACCCAAACACATCTGCATCAACTAGAAAACACAAAAGAAAAGCTCATTTAGTATTTTTTTTTTATAAAAGCAGCCAGTCTCAGTAAACAGGGCCGAGTGATTTAGGCCAGTCGTCTGTTATTTTTCTATCCAACATCGCGACTACGATTCAATTGCAGTTAGTTTCTATAAATTAAGCTCTGGGTGCATCTATTTGTTGGGCTTGACGCTTGAACACTGAGGTTCATGAGCTCTGCATTGTTAGATAGACTTGTTAAGATGATTTCGAATAATGTAGCATATAATTAAAATTGATTTAAAAATTTAACTGTTTCAAATTGCCTATTTAACATATACATGATTATTATATAATAATAATTATAATAATAATACCATTTTTATTTATTTAAAGGAGATAAAGCTGATCAGTTGTACAAGAAATTATAAGCACTAATTTAGAATCATAAGACAATAACACTCAAATGAAAGACAAACACCAAAGAGCCGTAGAGTTTTAATGAAGCGCAGTGTTTTCAGATGTTTATTAAAAGTGAGCTCTGAGCTCGACTGGCTAATAAAAGCTGAACTGAGCTCCACAGTTTAGAAGCAGAATAACTGAAAGTCTCTCCACGTTTTCTCTGTTTTATGGAAGGTGTTTGCAGAAGCTCATAAACAGACAGACACTCCGTGATGTAAGTGGTGCTTTAAAGTCATTTAGAACCGTAAAAACTAGTAGCAGAACCTTAAAATCTATCCTGATACGGGTAGCTAGTTCAGATCTTTTAAACCAGGAGTGAACGTCGTTTAAAAGGCCAGTTTAAAAAAAAATATTCTACAGAGCTGTTTCTGAATGCAAATCGAGTTACTTTAGACTGTGTTACCCCAACACTGAGCCTCAGGTGCTGTTCAGCACGATATTTTTCCAGCAAATACTTTATGTAAAAATATCTATTTTTATTGATCAAAATATCAAAATTAAATTTATTTAATAAAAATGTTTTTTTTAGATTCTATAAGCACTAAAATCTCCATGTAATCATGCATAGCATCAGTAAAACACAAGATATAACCAAATAAAATGGTCTTTATGCTCTTTATAACACTTTGTATTTACTTTTAATCATAGTTTATCTCTCCTGTGTAGATTTTGACGAGCAGACGGCCGACGACTGGGACGTGGACATGAGCGTCTACTACGACAAAGGTAGAAGAAGAAGCTTCATCACGGCTTCCGCTGAGCTGAGCTGAGCAGCACACATTATTTATTAAATTGGTTAATTAGACTGGATTGGGAGCTGATATGTTGTCCTGATTACTGTCATTACATGTTTGTCATGCCTTTGTTTACAGACGGAGGCGACATGGACTCCAGAGATTACGTACGCATGCGGTACGAAAAGAGACTGAGGGAAGGTCTGGAGGAGACGTCCAGCCAAAAAATCGGAACCTTTGAGAAGTTTACTAAAGTAAGGATGGAGATACTGCAGCTTGCAGGGGAACTCCACCCGTTTTTCCGAATATCAGAACAGTTCTACTGCTGCTCTGTAAACAGTGTCATTCAGAATGTTGAGGGACTGAAATGTACATTTTTCACAACCTATAAAGGACGACTCATGAAGAATGTTTGAAGCATGAGCTTTTAAAAGAGGAATTCCACCATTTTTTTCAAAATTTCTGCATAAATTACTGTGTGAGATGTAAACAGAGAGATTCAGAGTGGTTTGGTGTGAAATGGTTCAGATGTCTTTACAGTGGTGGTGATAGGAACCAGGGGTCGCCATGACTACAACACAAATATAGACATTTTATTTACTATCCAGAACCACCAGTGAACCTACACGAGTCTTCTGAGTTTATATGGAATGTTGATGATGGAAAAGAGTGGAAAATCTGAAATAAGTTTTCTTTGGGGACTATTTTGCCTCACAGCGCCCTGCATGTATCCCTATATCAACACCACTGTGAACAGTTCTGACTCTGTAAGTTTCTCTAGAACAGAGCATTTCACACCAAACCACTCTGAACGGCTCTGTTTACATTTTAACCATTTAATTATGCAGAAATTTTGAAAAAAATGATGGAATTCCCCTTTAATCCTTATACTGTCCTATTTTCTGTTATTGATTGATGGACGATGTAACGTGAATAGCTTGTTGAACAGTAACCTTCTGCTCACAAGTCTGTTCCTGTTGTGTTTTCTGTGTATTTTAGGGTGTTGGCCGGCGTGTGATGGAAAAGCAGGGCTGGAGGGATGGAGAGGGACTCGGACACGCTCGATCTGGGATGCCTGAGGCTTTAGAGAACGAGGGACAGAACCCCAACTGTAAGAGAGGATTTGGGTGAGTGTTCACACCTCCGATCTCCACCCACAAATGTGTTCTTTCATAGCTACTTTTGAGAGGTTTCATGAGATTCATATCCCATTCAGCCTAATGAGAATCTGTAGAACAGACTCAGTTTATATCACAATACCTACATTTAGAGTCAGTTATTCATTCAGCCTAATGAGAAACTGTAGAACAGACTCAGTTTATATCACAATACCTACATTTAGAGTCGGTTATTCATTCAGCCTAATGAGAAACTGTAGAACAGACTCAGTTTATATCACAATACCTACATTTAGCGTCGATTATTCATTCAGCCTAATGAGAAACTGTAGAACAGACTCAGTTTATATCACAATACCTACATTTAGAGTCGGTTATTCATTCAGCCTAATGAGAAACTGTGGAACAGACTCAGTATATATCACAATACCTACATTTAGAGTCAGTTATTCATTCAGCCTAATGAGAAACTGTAGAACAGACTCAGTTTATATCACAATACCTACATTTAGAGTCGGTTATTCATTCAGCCTAATGAGAAACTGTAGAACAGACTCAGTTTATATCACAATACCTACATTTAGAGTCGGTTATTCATTCAGCCTAATGAGAAACTGTAGAACAGACTCAGTTTATATCACAATACCTACATTTAGAGTCGGTTATTCATTCAGCCTAATGAGAAACTGTAGAACAGACTCAGTTTATATCACAATACCTACATTTAGAGTCAGTTATTCATTCAGCCTAATGAGAAACTGTAGAACAGACTCAGTTTATATCACAATACCTACATTTAGAGTCAGTTATTCATTCAGCCTAATGAGAAACTGTAGAACAGACTCAGTTTATATCACAATACCTACATTTAGAGTCAGTTATTCATTCAGCCTGATGAGAAACTGTAGAACAGACTCAGTTTATATCACAATACCTACATTCAGAGTCGGTTATTCATTCAGCCTAATGAGAAACTGTAGAACAGACTCAGTTTATATCACAATACCTACATTTAGAGTCGGTTATTCATTCAGCCTGATGAGAAACTGTAGAACAGACTCAGTTTATATCACAATACCTACATTTAGAGTCAGTTATTCATTCAGCCTAATGAGAAACTGTAGAACAGACTCTTTGAAAGAAATCAAAGTAAATGAAGTATAACAGTAATAAATTCTGCATGACACTAAAGCTGTTCCATTTTCTTCTCAGGTATCACGGAGAGAAGCTCAGCTCATTCCTGCCACTTAAAAGGCCGCGGCCAGATTTTCACATATCCACTATTTATGACCAGCCCAAAGACATTGACCAAGGGGACAGTCTGCTGAGACGCCAGCCAAGCACCAGCATGAAGTACACAGACTGGAGGCCAGGGGGCAGCAATGAGCCCAGCAGCTGACCATACAGTCACTGATGATCATTCACTACTTCACTAATTTTGTAGTGAGAGCGTGACGGGTGTTTTATAAACTGACCTCAAAAAGACCTCGTATTTTTACAGGAAGTCCTGTGTTTAAACTCTAAAAACAAATCCTTTGTCTTAAAGGGTTTAAAATTATTTCTTATTGTTTTCAAATGTTTTTCAAAACCGTTTCCTTCACTGCACATGGTTTTATTAAAGCTTGTAAACAGAAACAGCTGTGATTATTATTTGGTTCATAGAAGAACAGAGGTGGTTCCTTTGCATGGTCTTCTATTCCTTCAAGGAAGAGTATTAAAGTGGAATTCCATTATAGTTTCAACATTTCTGCATAATTAAATGGTTAAGATGTAAACAGAGTCGTTCAGAGTGGTTTGGTGTGAAACGCTCTGTTCTAGAGAAACTTACTGAGTCAGAACTGTTCACAGTGGTGGTGATAGGAACCAGACGTCCACCTCTAAAAGCTCCCTCACAGAACATTGCTAAATTAAATGGTGTGGACGATAAAGTTAACACTGTCATTTTCTGTACATTACATCTGGAATACATAATTAAGTGCATATTATATGTAACAACGTTTAAGCATGTAAAGAGAAACAGTTGGGATATGAATTGGTTGAAAATGTTGCACCACAAAAATAAAAAGGCGCTCGGTCTCCTACGCCGCAGAATTCCACAGACCTTTCAAAATCCTGGCATAATAATGTTTATATTGTTATGTATTAAAATTTATAACAACATGTAATGCATTTTGATGTTAAATATATAATAAATATGACAGAATAATAATAAATGACTTACAAATAAAGAAATATTTATATGTATTGTGGCATTATAATACATATAAATAAGTAACCAGATCAGTAATTACTTATTTGATTGCTTCACATTCGGGTTAAATCTGCGCTTTTGGCTTTTGTTGGCTTATATTTTACATCAAAAATGGCAAAAACAAAGAATATTTTGTCTTTCTGCAAAACAACTTCACACACAAAAGTTTTCATCAAATTCAAATCATAAAAAATGTCTCCTACTCACAAACACAGGTTATGAATTGAAATATAGGCCGAATCTCAAATGGCTTCCTGCTCCCTACACAGTGCACAGTGTAGGTCATGAAATAACAGCTTCTACACCCAAACAGTGCTTTGTATGTCTAACAGAAAACCATTAATATTTGGCTAAGGCTGGACAACTCAATGTCAAACATTAAGTGCACTGTTTGGGTGTAGAAAGCCATAGTTTGATGACCTATTTAGGAAGTAAGGAGCTATTTAATATTCAGCCATGGAATCTGCACTACACAATTTCTCATGCTGTTTTGTGGTGCTACACTGTAAAAATGACGCAGCTTTTAAACATAAAAAGTGAGTAACTCGGTGTTGCGTTAATTCAACTTCATTTAGTAAGTTAACAAATGTAAAACACATTATTCTGTTAACTTTATATTATAAGCTCAATGAAAGTTAAAGCAGCCCTATGTAAGTTTTGGGGATTTGGCGACCTCTGTGGTGGAAAAGTATATTTGCATATGATGATTTCAAAGTGTGGGTTTTGCTTCAGGCCAACATGCATGGATGAATCTGATGACTGAACTCGGTCCAAACTTGGTGAAGGACGCGTCTTCTGAAGATTTGAGTTAATTATCTACTATTGTCGTCACATCTTTATCAGTATAATGTTGATTTTGCATTTGAGACCTAAACATCGAGTCGGAGCTTGAGTGTGTGTGTGATGTTAATACGTAAAGACGTATGATGTTATGTGAAAAACTCCCGACCGGACGCCTCTGACTTTTAAATAATTACACTGATCAGGCATAACATTCTGACCACCTCCTTGTTTCTACGCTCATTGTCCATTTTATCAGCTCCACTTACTATATAGGTGCACTTTGTAGTTCTACAGTTACAGACTGTCGTCCATCTGTTTCTCTGATACTTTGTTAGCCCCCTTTTACCCTGTTCTTCAGTGGTCAGGACCCCCATGGACCCTCACAGAGCAGGTACTATTTGGGTGGTGGAGTTTATATTTTTAACTGTTGTATAAAAGCAATAGAACACCCGAGGAGTGTGTTATCGCCAACGTGATGTTATTTTGCGATAACACACTCCCTCTCGTGTTCTATTGCTTAAATAAAGTATTATTTAAAGTTCACACACACACACACACATCTTCTAAGCTGCTTATCCTTATGGGGAATGGGGGGAGCTGGAGCCTATCCCAGCAGTCACTGGGTGGAAGGCAGGATACACCCTGGAGAGGTCACCAGTCCATTACAGGGCAGACAGACAAATAGACAGACAGACATACACCTTCACACCTAGGAGCAATTTAGCATGTCCTATTAGCCTGACTGCATGTCTTTGGACTGTGGGCGGAAACCAGAGCACCCAGAGGAAACCCACACTGACATGGGGAGAACATGGACATAGAGAGGACCCTGGTTCTGCTTGAAGTTCAGTGACTACTTACTTTTTTAAGTGAAAACAAAAACTGAATAATTTTTTACAGTGTGTGTTTTACATTTGAAAACCAGCAGGGCCTTTCTCGGGAGGGACTTTTAACTTGAAAATGGGCTGGTTAGTATAAAAGTCAGCCGTGTTCTGTGTGTTTTGTTGCCGCCTTCGCGCGGCTGAGTCGGCTGACACGTCACGAAGGTCGGAAAAATGGCGACCACCTACAGCAGCCTGAGTCTGTAAGTGTCCGGCTGAGCTCGGCTTTATTAACATTAATCAGGACTTCAGCGCTGCTTACCCTTTAAAGCGCTTTTAAACGGAACCTTTTTCGCTGAAAACCTCGGACTGACAGCCGGCGAGTCTCCGCAGCGACTCTGCCGCGTTTTGTTGTGTCATATTGAGCTGAAATGAGTAAAAATATCAGTTATTTTTTCTCATAACTCAGTTTTACTTCGGCTTTTAGTGATTTTAGCGCTGCGTTTTAAGTGGTTTACTCGTGGCCGAATGGAGGGAGTTATTACAGCATTTTATCTTTCTTTCATAATGTTATGTTGTTTAACATAGTGCGGTTTTTAAAAAGAGGGTTCTTCAAGGCTTCTTTAGTAAAGGGAATGGTTCTGTTTAGAACCATGAGTTCTATTTAGAACCATTTACATGCTTAACTGTTTTTTTTGTCTGGTGAAATGGTCCTTCAGGTTGTTGAATGTGTTGTATATGGTTGCAGATAGCACCAAAAGGGTTCTGCTATTGTGACAACGTCAAGCTTGTATCAAGGAACCCTTTTTGGTGCTATATAGAACCATTTTCAAAAAAAGGCTGTATATAGAACCATATAAAACACAGTCTCCAGCAATCACCATGCAAAGAAGCCTTAAGCTTGAAATACTAATATATATATATATATATATATATATATATATATATATATATATTTATATATATATGTATATATATTTATATATATATGTATATGTATATTGTGTATGTATGTATGTATGTATGTATAAAGAACCCTTGAAGAACCATGCTAACCTGCTGGAACCAGCTAAAATAGCCCTGAACTTCCCCTGATGTTTCCGCTCACTATAATACTGTAGTTCTATCTTATAGTAATCTACTTACTACCAAAAAGGTTCTTGTACCAATAACAGAACCCTTTAGATGCTATATAAAGCCAGTTTTCCTTAAAGGTTCTTTAAAGAACCGTACACAACAGGATTTCCATCACAGAGAAGAACGATTTATGTGGTTCTGCCTTACGAAAGAGCCCTAACTACCTGTTCAGAAACTGTGTTAGTTGTATAAATTTGCTGTGCGGTTCTTGTAGGAGTTCGTAGAAATTGCCGTAATGTTAAATGAGATGTTTATCATAAGGATTAATATAATTATACCCATGTTCACCTGTTTTATACTCAAAACGCATACAAGCATGGTTTCTTTCAGTTATTTAAAAAGGTTTGATAAAGATCAGAGCAGATCTGCTACAGTGTAGGATGTGCACTCTTGAAAGGGTTCTTTATAGAAAGAAAATGGTTCTATATAGAACCGCGAACACTCAAAGAACCCTTTGCATGATTAAATGGTTCTTTGCATCATGAAAGCGTATATATTATATATATTTGTCACTGATAGACATTAGAGGTAGTTTAGAGGAGAATAAATCCGTCCTGGAGTTAAAGTGTCTGTATACTTAATTATTATAATTATTATTAGTAAAAATCAAGTGGGAGTATCTGAAAGTCTGAGGTCCGAAAACCCCCTGCAGTAACGTGTTCCCCTGTAGAGCTACGGTGCTCCTTCATCATCTGTCAGCACAGCAGCTGAAGTTTGCGCAGCTCTGTTCTTCTGTTTTTGGTCTAAAGCTCTGAAGTGAGAGAAGCAGAGAGGAGTGGTCAACAGTAAAGCAGAACAGCAGCTGAACTGACACAGCAGAATGAAATTAAGCCTAAAAAGGTCAGAAAGGGTTTAGAAGCTCAGTGTTAATGGCTAAAAATGAAACTACGCACTAATGTAGTCGAGTAGAAGTGAAAGTGTTTTCTTTTGAAAAGAGTGTCTGCAGGGCTTGTGTCCCGCTAGTGTTGTGAAGTTGAAAGATTGAAAAAAACGAAAACATTCAGTTTGTTTCATTGTTCAGACAGTATAGTCTGGAATAAAATGATGGAATTATGGACATCAAAGAAGCTCTTAAACGTATGTTTCTGTCGGAGATTCTGTTTTCAGAACCAAACCTTGTGTCTCCATTTTTGTCGTTTTTCAGTTTTTGACGTAATTTGAAAATGTCTGTTGTCCTTTATATTGCGTGTAAATGTCATGATGAATGGACCAAAAGAAACGGCCCCAAAATTACTTGGGAAAACGCTTGGTTCCCTTGATTTACATTAAACATTAGGGTTTTTTCCCCTCCCCTGTAAAGTTACTGTTTCATATTTTTTCATGTGTATATATGAACGGTTTCTTTGCCAAATGCAGACTTTTTTTTGTTCGGGATGTACATTGGTGGTTGTGATGTTTACACATTTAAGAAACATCAGTGCTGTATTACAATAAATATCTTCTTTATTGTTATAATAGAAATAGCCTTCTGTTATATATCAGCTGTTATTCTTTTCAAAATCTCATCATATTCATAATTGTTACGAATATACATACAGCATTTTGCTGTCGTCTCACAGCAGGAAGGGTCTGGGTTTGATTCCCCGGCCGGGTGACCAGCGTCCTCTCTGTGTGGAGTTTGCATGTTCTCCCTGTGTCTGTGTGGGTTTCCTCCCACAGTCCAAAGACATGCAGTCAGGCTGATTAGACATGCAAAATTGCCCCTAGGTGTGTGTGTGTGTGTGTGTGTGTGTGAATGTATATGTCTGTCTGTCTGCCCGCCCTGTGATGGACTGGCGACCTGTCCAGGGTGTTTCCTGCCTTCTGCCCAGTGACCACTGGGATAGGCTCCAGCTCCCCCTGCAACCCATAAGGATAAGCGGCTTAGACAAGGACGATGATGATGATTTTGGAATGAAACTATTCATATATATCAGAACAGACTTTACAGGCGAAGGCGAAAACGTTCCGAGCTCTTAATGGAAGTTAACATAAAAACATTTTATTTCGAGTGATTTTTCAGCGTTTCTGTCTGTTCAGCATTCGGCAGTCTAAAGGGAAGCTGTGTTCAAATGATGTAAAGCAAATGAAAATGGAAAAAAAATGGAGTTACATGTTTTGCTTGGACAGCAAATTTGTACATATGTGTGTATTTATACACCATAAAACTGCAACAAAATAAAAATAATAAAGTGACCAGTTTTGTGATTTGAGCAGAAATCAGCCAATTCTGAATCAGACGTTTGTTTACGTGGGTTCTCTTCGTTTGTCCTCGCAGGCACACCACCCCGGAGAAGTTTTACATTGAGGCCGGGGACGATGGCGCTAATGAAGTCCTCGCCATTGACAGAGTGTCCACAGAAATGACCCTTATAGGTACAGCTGGACAAACACTCAGTGACTGATACTGGACCGCCACAGCACTCAGAGTCTAGCTGAAGCAGCTGGTCTGAAACGAGCTCAAAATACACTGAAGTACAGCGACAGTATAGTTTAAAGAAGAAAGAAGAATTTCACTGACTGACGTTTCAGCGTAATTCAGTGTGTGAGATGTAAACAGAGTCATTTAGAGTGGTTTGGTGTGAAATGGTTCAGATGTCTTTACAGTGGTGGTGATAGGAACCAGGGGTCGCCATGACTACAACACAAATATAGACATTTTATTTACTATCCAAAACCACCAGTGAACCTACACGAGTCTTCTGAGTTTATATGGAATGTTGATGATGGAAAATAGTGGAAAATCAGAAATAATAAGTTTTCTTTGGGGACTATTTTGCCTCACAACGCCCTGCACACCAAACCACTCTGAACAACTCTGTTTACATCTTAACCACTTAATTATCCAAAAATTTGAAAAATATATGGAAGTATTTAAGTGTCTGAGCTACTTTAAAGGTTTTCATTAACAATTGAAACCAGTTCCCACTTTGGTAAAATACAGCTGTAAATCACTTTCTTTCATTTCACAATTTATTATACTTTTATATATAGTTAATGTATACTATTTTACTTTATAATATTTGATTATTATTATTATTGTTATTATTATTATTATAATTATTATTATTACTTCGATCATCCCGAAATTGTGGATTTCATGATGAAGTGAATAATTTTCTAAAAAATCATAATCAGATTGACTCGTTGTGAGCTCAGAGATTAAAACCCCTAATTTTCAGTCTTATTGAATGTCCTGCAGGGAGGAAGGACGTCCCTCCTTCAGCTGTGACCCGACCGATATGTGGCATTATGGGAACGATACGGCTGGTCGCAGGTCAGTGCCAAAAAAATAAACCCAATCTGACTCTTGTTTGAAAGTGGTAACAGGAATAAAAGCTATTTAAGAAACTTTAGCGTAAATCTAATATGTTGAGTGACCTCATGTTCATTTTGCACTTGTTCAGATGAACTATTGTTTTCAATTGGGCTGCATGATACCTACATAAATAGCAGTGTTCAATAAAGCTTGATATCTCGACGATGATATAAGTGATAAATTATTATATTATAAATATAATCAGTTTTCCTCTGACTGGATGTGCCACCAGTACAGACTTTTTTTTGCTGTATAAACAGAAATCTTATCTAACCTCTCCTTTAAACAAATAGCAAAAAAACAAATAAAGAAACAGAAACACAATTCTCTGAAATACGAACAGCTACTTGCATCACAAGTGCAAGCGAAAAACACTCAGCACTCCCTGAACAGATATTTCTATGTAGGCTTACAAAAACGAATACATCTGTGCATTTTTATTTTCTACACGAGCTCCTCATGGTAATGCAGGTTTGTTGTAACAGTAACCATGACTTCGTCACACCTATTGAAGAGAGAATAATCATTTATATATGAAGTATTTATACAGGCTAGTAGTTCAGTGTTAATGTAATATTGTTGTGTTTATCGTATCGCAATAAAGATAAAAATCCGATTTATCGTGCAGCCCTGCTTTTAATAAACGGTGGTGTTTTTTCTCACTACCTCGACTCATTTTGCCTCTATTTTTTCCTGCGCTCTTTTTTTAGGCATGTACCTCATTGTGATCACAAAGAAGAGAAAAGTCGGGGATCTGCTGGGTCACGTGGTCTGGAAGGCAGTGGAGTTTGATGTGATCTCCTATAAGAAGACAGTGCTGCACCTCACTGATAACCAGGTTTGGCGGTTTTTACTGTAGGCCACTCGCTTTACCGTGTTCTGGAAATGTCTCAGCGCAGAGTGTTGAAAGTGTTGGCCTACTTTCTCTAAACCTCCGCCCACCACACTCCTGCGCTGCCCTGCTCAGTAGGAAGAGGCTTTTTTTAGAGCGTTTCATTAGCAGCAGATTGAGTGCTCGAGTTAAAGCGATAGTTTGGCCAAAAGTCAAATGTCCACAGTCAAATCTACCACTCAAACCGGCCCCCCCTGCCCAGTGTAGTCGATCAGCCATGACATGTTTGGTCTCTGAAGTTTGCTTCTTTAGTTTTAGCACTGAAGCTTAAACCCCACAAATTAGCATGGTGCTAACTGCAGGCCTAAATCATCACACACCTCCGTCAAACCATGAGTCGTTAAGTAATCTCTAATAGACTCAATTATGTGGCTTTACACACTTAAAATGACGGTTCTTCGAGGGTTCTTTAGTGAAAAGAGATGTTGAAAAGGGTTCTATGTATAATCTTTTTTGAAAAGTGTTCTATATAGCACCAAAAGGGTTCTTCTACTGTACCAAGCCTGACATAGTAAACCCTTTTTGGTGCTATATAGAACCTTAATCAAAGGTTCTATATAGAATCATTGTGACAATGCGTTCTCCATCAATCTGAGGAACACTTTTTATGATATGATGCAAAGAACCATTTAATCATGCAAAGGGTTCTTTTAGTGAATGTGCATGGTTCTATACAGAACCATTTTCTTTACTAAAGAAGCCTTGAAGAACCATCATTTTTAAGTGTGTATAAATCAGCTCAGTGATTAGTTCACAGTTTGAACTAGAAGTGGAAGTTTGTGAATCAACTTTAAGCTGACTTGACAAAGCCATCGCGATGAAGTCCCAGGTGTTGCTGTGTTATCCCAGGTGGTTGCTAAGATAGTGCTAAACCATTGCTTTGGAATCCCAGGTGGTTGCTAAGGTGTTGCTAAACTATTGCTTTGGAATCCCAGGTGGTTGCTAAGGTGTTGCTAGGTTGTTGCTGTGTTATTCCAGGTGGTTTGCTGAAGGGTTGCTAAACCTTTGCTTCTGTATTCCAATTGGTTGCTTAAGTTTTTTAGGCCTTTGCTCTGGTATCCCAGGTGGATGTTAATGTGTGTGTATAAATGTATGCTATGTTTGTGAGTCTGTATGTAATTTCTATGAGGGTCAGTGTGAGAGAGAGATTATAAATTATAAATTTTTCAACTTTCTGGCATAAATTTCCTACAGCATTAAATCGTGTTTGAACTAACACTGTATGAAAAACATACGTGATCGATCCTTAAAGCACAATCACACTATTCCAGTAAAGGCTCTGAGATCTTGCGAAGGTTTGTGGCTCTAGCTGCAACTCATGCAAACTGACTGTAAAAAAAATCTTAGTATAATAAAACAAAGAATGGTTGGCAGTGTATCCATGGGTCACCAGGGTGAGCTATTAGCACTCTTTAGTGTGCGTCACTGAAAGAGAAGAAACCCACACCAGCAGGATCTCACTGAGTTTGTAGTTAAACATTGCTTTTGTATTTTTTCATTTATGTGAGTGAAATGAAAGGTTTGCTGTTACAAAACGCCTGTATTTGAAGTAAATGGCTTTTATTAACTAGGACAAGGCTGGACAGCTTGGCAGACTAACTGGCTAACAGGTTAACTGGCTTCTCCAATAATATTCATTTCAGTAAAACGGCAGCATACAAAGTAAAGAAAATGCCACTTTAATGTCTTTACAAGTTTTAAATGCTTCAAATGTCCATGCTGAAGCAGAGCTGCCCCATGTGTTGGAAGTGAGCACCATTAACTTTGTTCAGTTAAATACATTTCTATTGTTTGGTCTATTTAAAAAAACAAACAAACAAACAAAGCACTTGATTCATTGTTATTAATTGCTAGAGGCCTGATCTGTTTATTTCGATTATATTTAAGTATATTTACAAAGTAGGTTGTACGGCTGGTACATTGAGTGATATGAATCTAACCTGCTTTGACTTTACTGTTTAGATGCAGGACAACAAGGCGTTCCTGGGTATGATCAATAACGTCCTGAACACGGACGGGTTCTACTTTGCCACTGACTACGACCTCACGCACACGCTGCAGCGGCTCGCCAACACCAGCCCTGAGTTCCAGGAGATGAGCCTGCTGGAGAGGGTGAGAGAGGAGGGGTGAGAGAGGGGTGAGAGAGTGAAAATGTCTTAAAGTACCGTGATGTTTTTTCGAATTGCCCACCTCTAGGTAATACATTGCAGGATGTGTTGTAACTGTAGTATAATTACAAAATAATCGCAACAGGATATTTTATATATCTATAATGTGCAGCCCTGCAAAATTCACATACAGTGATGTAAAAAATATTCGGCGCCCTCGTCAGATTACTTTTTGTTGATTTTGAAAAATGAGTCCTTTAAACAGAATAAACCTAATTGTGACATTTGTCAGCAAATTTTAGTGCATAAAATAATCTCTTTTTATTTGTTTAGTTTAATATACTGGAAAAATATAAAATGTGCCATAACTTTTGCACAGACCACATTTTATGTTAATTTTTCCCCCCTCATTTTTTTCATTGAGCAAATAAACAGTAATTGTGTATTAAAATGTGCAGTAGTGAGTTCCCTGCAGAGGATGTGTTCTTTTATTCTCACCTAGAAAATCTAGTTAAAACTTTTTCTGGGCTGCATGATATGAGCGAAATAATGTCCTGTATTATTTTGACCAAAATGAGTAGTTTTAGTCTATTTCTAGTCCATTATTTAAAAAAAAAAAAGAAAACAAGTAATTAAAGAGTGAATTATTTTTGAAATGTTCTTAGAATTCTCAAAAAATGTCAGAGGTTGAGATGCCTGTCAGTACAAATCTCAGAGGGAATAATGAATAACATGAATATGAATAATAGTAAAAATAAATACGTAAATATTTGAAGGATTTCAAAAACCTGTCAGACCTGCTGTCGAGGAAATTTACCCTCGAAACATGCTTAAAACACTAATCAAGGGCCATCTCTGATTGGCCGGTATGCTCACAGCGCGCAGTAAACAACACTGTGATTGGTTAGAGGGCTCATTTGCATACTGCAACCTTCTCTGATATCAGTATTGCAAAAGCCAGTAGCATGATACAGATTAACAGCCGGTGTATCGTGCAGTCCCAGCATGAGTTTAGTCAGGAGTAATGATTTTTACCCTTTCCTGTGTTTGTGGTCGGCAGGCAGATCAGCGGTTTGTGTGGAACGGCCATATGCTCAGAGACTTCAGCACACAGCCCGAGGTAAGAGAAAACAGGCTCACTGTCAGAGAACACTGGAGCATGTGATCTGGTGTTTTAACTTAAAAAGTAAGTGACTTGACTGCCTTAAAATTAATATTTTATTGAACTTCAACTAATACTTTAATAGAATATAATATATAATATAAGTGTTCTGTAAATTAATTTTTTAAGCCAGGTAACTTAGTTTTTAAGTTAAAACACCAAATATATACATATATTTATATTCACAATGTAGATATGAAAGATACATGACAAAAAAGAAATTGCATCTGTACTAGATAGGTTTAAATACTGAATAATTTACAGTAGATACTGAATAATATATAGTGGATATAGAATAATTCATAGTAAATACTGAATAATAAATAGTAGATACTGAATATTTTATAGTAGATGCCAAACACATAGTAGGTACTGAATTATTCATAGTAAATACTGAATAATATATAGTGGATACTAAATAATTCATAGTAGATACTGAATAATTCATAGTAGATACTGAATAATATATAGTGGATACTAAATAATTCATAGTAGATACTGAATAATTCATAGTAGATACTGAATAATATATAGTGGATACTGAATTATTCATAGTAGATACTGAATAATATATAATTCATAGTAGGTACTGAATATATATAGTGGATACTAAATAATTCATAGTAGATACTGAATAATATATAGTGGATACTAAATAATTCATAGTAGATACTGAATAATATATAGTGGATACTAAATAATTCATAGTAGATACTGAATAATATATAGTGGATACTAAATAATTCATAGTAGTTACTGAATAATTCATAGTAGATACTGAATAATATATAGTGGATACTAAATAATTCATAGTAGATACTGAATAATATATAGTGGATACTAAATAATTCATAGTAGATACTGAATAATATATAGTGGATACTAAATAATTCATAGTAGATACTGAATAATATATAGTGGATACTGAATTATTCATAGTAGTTACTGAATATTTTATAGTAGATACCAAACACATTATCGTAGATACTGAATATAGTATAGTAGTTATTGAATACTTTTATAGTAGATACTGAATACCTTGTTGTAGTTGATAATCGTGTTAATGGACCTGTCCAAGCTCTCCACTGTAACATTAGCATGACAAACAACTACACCAGCTCTATCCTGTCATTTAAAATGAACAACACTCTTACTTTCACTGTTGTCAGACTTTTTCCAACATTGCTAAAGAATGTGGAGGATGGACAGGTCAGTTGTTTATCAGTTGATAATTGCACACGTTTATATTAATTCAGCACTTTTAATTTGATCCTTCTGGTTTCTCTCACAGCTGCACAGGTTCGCCTGCCCTGTGGTCCACGGCTGTATCCTTAAATGTCTGAACTGAGCCCTTACCTTTGGTTATTACCTTCAGGTTTGACTCGCCAGCTGCAGAGTAAACAGAGGCAGGCTGTGTTTTACGAGGTGCGGCCTCGCTACTTTACAGGAGCCGTTATCAGGCTTTTGTGAAATGTTTACCCAAGTTAGAGAGATATTAATCCTAACTGCTGTGAAGCGTATCTCACTGTGGTCCTTCTGGTTGTCTGATGTTACTCTTGCATCATTCGTCTTTTTAGTGCTATTTCATTGTATGTTGTTATATAATGTTATTAATGTTGTAAACCCAGTTCTTTTCTTCGATCTTAGTGGTCTGAATTTGCTAATTTGCAAGTTGTAATTGATGACACTTGTGTTAGTCTGTTCCTTTATAAATTCAATGAGCACAGATTTTAAGCTAAAAGCTTTTAGAAATAAGGGGCTTGGACTCCCATAGAGAATCATTGGGCAGCTGTTTCATGTTACCATGGTGATTACAACTTTGCATGTCAGATAATCTGCACTTTCAGCCAAAAAGTGCCCTGAAGCCGTCGTCTGTCGCCAGACTTGGGGAGGTTATTTTTAGGTGCACAATTAAGCAACATCTGCTGTCTTCAGTAGTGTGAAAAAGAAAACAGCCCTGAATTTGGCCTTTTTTTCTGTAATTACTAATATAATATAATATAAGATAATACAGGGAGATTCACTTGAAAGAGGCCCTGAATATTCTGTAATAACTCTCTGTAGGACAAAGCAGTCTGAACAAAACAGTGTGCAATGTGCTCCTCAGTATATGGAGGCTCAAACAAGCCGGGATGCCCCTGCGTCGGAGCGATGAGGTAGGCGCCAGACAGCCATCGCAACATTTAACCTCCTTTTGCACCTTCCGGGTGCAAACCCCCCGTACCCCTTTATGTGTCCGGCAAAAAACAGAGATCACTTCCCGCATCGCATGTAATGCAATCGATTACACATACGTCAAGGTACGTGGCATATTTGTTACAACAGAATATTTGGGGCCTCTTTTCAGTGAATCTCCCTGTATAATTAACTAATTTATGTTGGCAGTTGTGCCTTAATGCAAGGCGTATTGCTCCACTAGTCCTCTTTATATCTGTAGTTCAGTTCATCAGCTGACAGTTCCCAGTGTCGATTCTTGGCTGGCCTAAAGAGTTGAATAAGTCACCCCGAAATGCAAAGCGGGGTGAAATCACATGGCCTTAAGTGACTTACTGCTCTTATAAAACAGCTAAAACTTGCCGCAGAGTTGTTTAATCATGTGGTTAAGCTGATTTGATTGTTGTAATGTTCGTTTTTGTTTGCGCTGTCTGGCTGAAGAAGCTCCTCAGCAGTTCAGGCTGTTTATTAGATGATTCCTCCTTAACGGTTGCTGCTCTCAGTCATCGTCATGAAGTCCTGCTGTATTAATGGCAAAGTCTTTGAGTGGAACCTCATTTCCAGAAGGAGCTGCTTCCGCGCAGGCGTGCGCTACTATGTCAGAGGTAACTGCTTTACCCACAATCCACCTGTTTCGTCTGCTTTGATTGCTGTGGAACAGGCGCCATAACTAGGCTTGTCGAAATGCATCATGCGTCACTTTTGGAAATGCATAATAATCTGCACTTAATTTTTGGACGAAATAAAATTCTTGGGGTGGTATTTTTATTGTGTATATTTCACAGCTGTGCTTTTAGTTCACCCAGTCACATTTATGTAAACTGTAATTCAGTGGTTCTGAACCTGGTCCTCAGAGCTGTTTAACTCTGGCTCTGAAAACCTTTATAACATTTATAATAATCTGTTTCTCCCATATTTCCCTAGGAATTGACTCTGAGGGTCACGCCGCCAACTTTGTGGAAACGGAGCAGATTGTTCAGTATAACGGCGCCAAGGCTTCATTTGTACAGGCAGGTGTCTGACAAACGACCTGCATATACCTTTATTCTGGACAAACGCTCATGTATCACAGCCAAGGGCTGTTCTGTCCGGCCTGGGAGACCATCACCAGGGAAACCACAGACATTGATACTGATATTGACACAGCTGTCAGAAATTGAGACAAATTATGAGTTTCACATACCTCCTCATATAAAACTGGTTTTAATGCTTTAACAGGCTTGAGATATGTTTCAGTATAATCTCTTATTGTGGAGTATATCGACATATGACGACTTATCGCAGTGATTTCTTTTTTCATCCATGGTATAGACCTTATAGTGATGGTTCACGGGTCTTTCCTACATAAGAGCAAACTTACTTGAGTGCTTTTATTGAGTTGAATAACATTTCTAAAGGAGCTTCACTTTATTCACTGTTTGCTGTGTTAGCATTTTTAACCAGTGTACTTCTTTAACAGTTTGTAGCTTGTGTTATTTCTTCATGTGAGCTGACGGTCTCTCTCTCTCTCTCGATCTCGCTCGATCTCCCTCGAACTCCTCCAGACTCGCGGGTCTATTCCCTTCTACTGGTCCCAGCGACCAAACCTAAAATACAAACCCAAACCACAGATCAGCAAGTCCGGCAATCACGTAAGCTTTCATTTTAACCTTTCTTAAAGCCTTATATATGGCTTTAATGTACAATTAAAAGTATAGATTATGTATAGGTAAATTTATAATTGTTATTCAGAAATAGCTCATACAGTGTAGACTGAAATCTTTTAAACTGGACAACAAAATGTAAACAGGGTCAAAGAAGTTATGGTTAAAAAAAGTCTCCATACATATATGATGTTTAGCTTTATTTTGCTCTAATACTTTTTAATTATTGCCGTTCCCAACATATTATTAATGTATCACGTCTGCTTTGTTTTGTTAGGCTTATGTTGTTATATTGACATTTACTAATTTGTAGTAATTTGAAATGTGTGAAAGAAAGCAAGCAACTGTTATCTAATAAACTGTAATGATCATTTTATATCTCTTGTTTTGAAAAGTTATAGTAGTTTATAGTTATGAATAGCTACTTTATCAGTGAGATCTGGTCACTGCTTTTCCTACAGCTCTGTTCATCATTGAAAATCTTGTAATTTTTACAGCTTCCTACAAATAGTTTGAACGTATAGAATATAAGCATCATATTAGAATCATTTTATGTATGTATTTATAACACAATTGGTTCTATATTGTTAAAAACAGTGATTCCAATCTTTTGTGTTTCAGTTTATACTTGTAAAGTAAAATTATAGTTTTCGAAAAGTTTCTGCATAATTCAGTGTTTGAGCTGTAAACAGAGAGATTCAGAGTGGTTTGGTGTGAAATGGTTCAGATTTCTTTACAGTGGTGGTGATAGGAACCAGGGGTCGCCATGACTACAACACAAATATAGACATTTTATTTACTATCCAGAACCACCAGTGAACCTACATGAGTCTTCTGAGTTTATATGGAACGTTGATGATGAAAAATCTGAAATAATACGTTTTCTTTGGGGACTGTTTTGCCTCACAACACCCTGCATGTATCCCTCCGCTATTATTTGGAAAAAAAAACATACATTTTAGGCTAAAATCTTCTCAAAACTATCATAAAACCCCAGACACCAGGCAGTGAATTCGTAACCATTTCATGTAGTAACTTCCTGTAAGGGGGATTTTAGAGGTGGACGTCCGGTTCCTATCACCACCTAAGGTCGATGGAATTTCCCTTTTAAAGATGTTCTTCTTTTTTGACATCTTTAGCACATTTCAAGTTTAAATGTGTGGGTTTGTGTGAGAAAACTGTTTCTGTGTTATAAATGGCTACTTCTTGTTTGTCACAGCTGGATGGTTTCCAGAGGCATTTTGACTCTCAGATCATCACCTACGGAAAACAAGTCATTTTAAACTTGGTATGTACTTTGCCGTGATCAGAGTAAAGTGAGTAAAGTATATTATCACGGCAGTAAAGCACAGTAACAGCAGATTTATCAGAATCTGCAGAATGTTGTGACTCGTGTATAATGTATCTGGTGTAAATCACATTGTGGCTCCCCAAAGCTTCCTATATGCAATCAGTCATCAGTTTTAACTGATATAACCTCTTAGCTGTATTTCCTTTCTCGTTCTGTTGTATTTTTCCTCTCTAATATTTGTGTTTGTCTTGTCTAGATTAATCAGAAAGGCTCTGAAAAGCCTCTAGAGCTCGCCTTCGCCAAGATGGTGGAGAGCCTTGGCAACGGCATGATCAAGTAAGTGACTCGCCGAAAACCTAAGAAAGGTTACGCTAATGATGCTCTAACTCGGGGTAGCTCTGCAGCTGCATGTGGCTCTTTTACTGCCCTGTTGTGGCTCCACAGCAGAATCAGATTTAGTAGGTAAAAATAAAATAATCCTCCTTTACAGTAAAATAAAGCTCTGCTGATCGTTCAACACAGTTTAACAATAAATGGTCTTAAACTCTGGAGTTAATGTAGAACTGCTAATTCACCCTTTAACCCTGAAGATCAGCACAGACTGCTGGTCACCATAGCAACACAGACAAAAGTCTCACCTAGCTAGTAGCTACGAAACGGCAAAGAGAGAGATTTAAGACGAACATCGATAATTTGGAGACTAATGGACTTATTAGTGTTTATAATCACTCCAGCTGGTTTCCTGATACGTTTAATCTGCAACGAGAAACTGAAACACTAAAAAGTCACAAAGCTGAAGTCAGTTTCTCATTTGAATTTTCCCGTTCCACCCTAAATGGTGCAGAAGTTATATTCTGGTCCCTCAGGCACCATTTAAGGTGGAACGGGAAAATTCGAGCAAGAAGCTGGTGAACGAGAAGTGACTTCAGCTTTGCAAAAAGTCAAACGTTCAGAGACATTTTACAAGAAACTGTTCTATTTTTGTGGAAAAGTTTCCTGCTGGAGATGTGAGAAAAGCAGCTATAGCTGAGCTAAAGATTAAAGCAGAGCAAAGTGAGTCTGTGTTTTTGTTTATATTTTTTATCCTATACTAGTACATCAGCACATACTGAGACACATTGACAAGATGGTAAAATGGACATAAAATGTTGTGACTCCCAAGGTGGTTTAATTTTTATTCAAGGACAAAGTGGCTCTTCTTAACATTTGAGTTGCGAGCCCTGCTCTACCTTATCCTTGTGTCCTTGACTGCTTCGCTCCTGCAGGTATGTGGCCTTTGACTTCCACAAGGAGTGCAGCAGGATGAGGTGGCATCGTCTGCAGGTTCTGGTGGACACGGTGGCTGATTTACAGGAGGAGTTCGGGTGAGTCTGTCACAGAACAGTTCACAGGCTTAGAGCACACTGATTGCGACTGCTGCACTGTGTAAGGTGGAACTGAAAGGCTGAACACTTCTGTGCGTATTTATAGAAAACTGCATGTCAGTACACTGTCAGAAATGACCTAAACTGTGAGCTTCCACTGCTTTTGCACTGTCCATTAATTTACTGTGGCCTCAAGATCATGAGATGGAGCCTTGGCCTCAGGAGTTTTGGTTTTGTTGCGGCTCTTGAGAGCAGCTCTGTTATACAGAGGCTGTATAATAGCGTTTTAATGTGTGAGTGAGGTTAATGATTAAGAGTGTTGCTATAATGAGACTGTATCTGTGGGCAGTTACTTCCTGGTGGACACAGATGGAACAGTCCAAGTACATCAGGAGGGGACGTTTCGCAGTAACTGTATGGACTGTCTGGACCGAACCAATGTGGTCCAGAGTCTGCTGGCCAGACGATCGCTGCAGTCTCAGCTGGAGGTGAAGCCACTGCACTGACACATTCATATACTACCACATTAAACTGTAGTACTCCAGCGTTTTTCAAACTGATCTCTGTGTGCCACATCTGTAGCTAACTGCTGATAATAATGGACAAATTTAAATGCCCTTAGTTCCTTTCAAGGTTTCTTCCTCTTACTCTTCTTGCCACTGTCACTATTGGAGACACTCATGGGGGCTCGGACCTGGATTTGCCTGTAAAGCTGCTTTGTGACATTGCTGTAAAAAGCACTGTATAGATAAACTTTGACTTGACCCTTCTCTGTACTAAGAAAAGCAAGAGAAAACACATTTACTTGAAACAGGCTTGTAATAGAAGCCAATGGGAAGTATTTGGAAGTTATGTGGTGTATTCGGCCCAGTGCTGCTGTTAGTGTTTCTCCTTCTAACGCTTTTCTGCTGCTTGCTTCACCTGCAGAGGATGGGGGTCCTGCACGTTGGCCAGAGGATCGAAGATCAGATAGATTTTGAGAAGATTTATAAAAACGGTGAGCGCTCTGCCTTTACTGATTCACTCTTCCCTTTAAAAGACCCATATGATGGAAAACTAAGTTCTGCACGCTTTTTAAATATATTTAAATATTTAAATATTTTTATGTACTATGTAGATTTATTGTGTTGCTACGTTTTCAAAGTTTTCAGACAATGATACGAAGTTTTGTTCTGACAGCAGTGTTTTTTATTTATTTATATGTATATATACATTTTTCAGTTTTTGACATAATTTGAAAATGCCTGTTGCCCTTTACATTATGTGCAATTTTCATGGTGAATGGACCAAAAGAAACAGCCAAAAATTACATGGGGAAACATTCTGGTTCCACTGACTTACATTAAAGGCAAAGAAGTTTTTTTTTCCTTGTTCTGTAAAGTTACCATTTTGTTCCGACAACAGTGTGTGTGTGTGTGTGTGTGTGTGTGTGTGTGTGTGTAGTATGTATGTATGTTTTATTTCTTTCTGTATGTTAAATTCAGCAAATAAATAGAAATTGTGCACTAAAATTTGCTGAAAAAATGTATAAAATAAAGTTTTGTTTCCTGTAGAGGATGTGTTAACTCATGATCAACAAAATATGCTATTTAAGCTTTAAGCTGGGGTGACCGGCTGTGTTTTCTACACGTTAGAAGTGGAAGACGGCTCAGACTTTGTATTTTGCATGTTGCATATTGCCTAGAAGCCAACTGGAACTCTTATAGCTTGTCTCTCTCTCTCTCTCTCTCCATGTCTCTCTCTCTGTCTCTCTCTCTCTCTCTGCAGCATGGGCTGACAATGCCAATGCCTGTGCCAAACAGTACGCTGGTACAGGAGCTCTGAAGACTGATTTCACACGGTGAGTAACCCAGAGTGCAGGGTCAGTCATGATTAATCAGAGATCCTCAGAGAAACTGAGTTAAAGGGTTGGGCGATATGTTTTTTAAAGTTTCTAGGTCTTTCTTTAAATATCCTTATCGCAGGGCTAGGCCATATCACAATTTTGTTGTTGTCATGATAATTTATTTGACAGTATGTCACAACATGCTTCTCTGAGCATATCAGGAATATTCTCAGTACTTTAAGAAGACTGACCAGCTGCACGCACATGCCTCAAAACAGGGATTCCCAGTCTTATCCACACAGGGCCGGTGTAGCCCAACAAAGCAGGAGCACCTGATCAGTTGTTTAAAGACTGAGACTCATTGATTAAGCAAGCAGAATCAGGTGAGCTCCTGCTCATTTGGAATGAAAACCTGAAGCCAGTCGGCCCTTTATGGGTAGGATTGGACACTCCTGCGTTAAAAAGAGAGCATAATTAGACCTGATTAATTGGATTTAGAGCCTACAGTGAAATGTATAAAATAATTTGCACTCTGTTTTTGATGGTGTTGCTTAAATGTGGCACGTATGGTTTTTTTTTTTTGGTTTTTTTTGTATGTTCCAATTTACCAAACATTAAACAAAGAAACATTGTGGCATATTGTGATACATCGCATATTATGAAAACCTCTTTAACCTCTACCTTATAGTCGATATTCATATTTGAGAACAAAAGAGACTTGGGTGTTTTTGTGTTTCTGTGGTTGAGAGAGAAATAACGTATCAAGCAGATGGGTGACAGAAAACATAATCAAATAGATGGTATTCGATTGATTTGGTTGACAGTAATTCACTGTGTTGTGTGTGTGTGTGTGTGTGTGTGTGTGTGTGTGTTCAGGACGGGGAAGAGGACACAGTGGGGGCTGCTAATGGACGGCTGGAACTCCATGATTAGATACTACAAGAACAACTTCTCTGACGGCTTCAGACAGGTGCAGACAAGCCTTCATACAGAGAACGAACCGGGATGCACTTTACTGATAGGAAACAAAGTAATAATGATAATGATAATAATATGGGTACCTCACAGTCATTTGATGAGGTTTGATTACAGTTCTTTAGGAAATGATTCAGTGCATCATGAAATCTCAGATTTTGCCATGATTTGTTTGATTTTATTTATTTATTTATTTATTAAAGTGAAATATTAGAATTATTTTTAAAGTGGACTGAGTACATGAATGTGGAGGAATTATTTACGCAATAGTGGAATATAGATAAAAATAATATGGATAATATAGATAAAAAGAATAAGAAATAAGCTATGTTTATGTGACACTCCGAAGCAGGCCTGCTGGACAGTCCAGCAAAAGTGCCTGGCCAATCAGCAAATTCTCTTTTTTTTTCTAAACTCTAAACAACCTTCAGATTCATTTTCCTCTTGGTATAACAGATCTGGGATCAGTGCTCTTTATTTGTTGTCGAGCATCTCAGCCTTTCTTTATTTAATTATTTCCTCCTGTTTCAGGACTCCATTGACCTGTTCTTAGGGAACTATGCAGTGGACGAGGTAGACATGAACACGCCTCTCCATGAACCCAAAGACTGGAAGTTCCTCACGGTAAGAAACAAAAGGACTATCGTTCAAATGTTCAGAATCTTTTGCCATGTAAAACATTTGAGATTTTATATACAATAATAATGATCTTACTTAATTTGGCTAGTGCACTATATCCTCCCATAGATTATCTGCAGATGTTCAGATTGTTAATAAACTATGTGATGAAGTTGATTCTCAACAGTGGCAGGGTTAGGACTAGGATATGGACCAGAGTGACCCTCAGGATTAGGCTTTGGGTTGGGTTAAGGTTAGGGTTAGGGCCAGGTTTAGGGTTAAGGACAATTAAGGTGAATTTATAGATATTTAGTTAAATGTGAGTTAAAGGTAAGTATCAACAAAGCAATTAAAGTAGAGGTGGGCGATATGGCAAAAATATTATATTGCGATACTTTCAGAAATTTTAACAATACACTATATTTCATGATATTTATTTTTTCAGACATCTGATCAGTTAGAACAGAGAAAAATAAGTAGTGCTATTTTTAAAAAATACTATCAAAAAGCTGTAAATACAATGACTTATTCAATATTTGACAAACTGTGTTGCACTAAATGCAGTTAAACTGGACTAATTTTGCTCTCTTTATAATGAAACAAGCAGCTGGTTAGTTTCTGCTGCTGCTGACGATATTCTTGATATGTTCAGAAAAGCATATTGTATTGTATTTTAACATAATTTATCACAATAACAATATATATTGTCAAATTGCCCAGCCATAATTTAAAGTGTACTATCCAAATAAAGTGATACTGAAACTTATGTGGTGTGGACTTTAAACTAGACACTTAAAGATATTTTAAATTGAAGTTCAAATAAAGTATTTTGGAAGCACTTATAAGTATAAAATGATAAATAATATACTGTAATAATCTATTTGCTGTAGTTTTAGTCAAGTTTACTGCTTCATGCTGTGATCCCATCATAAGGCATTCTGGATGTTAACTGTAAATGTTCTGTGTTCTCTCCCTCAGCTGCCGATCATCATGGTGGTGGCGTTCTCCATGTGTATTATCTGTCTCCTCATGGCTGGTAAGAGACTCCTCATGTCTGCAGATGTTAGAATTATATATTTGCACATTATTAATGCTTAGATTTAAAAAAATTACAGAAATATTGGTTGGATAATAAAATTAAATGAAGATTCAGCATTATCTTAAACAGCACATGGCCATGGTCAAAAATATATAAATAAAACAAAAAAAATTTAACTCTACACAGACAGATTTATACTCTGTGCAAATTATTTACAGCTGTACTATGTAAGATGTGTGTTGTTAAAACTGAAAGAAGTATCATTACTGAGTAAGGAGAATAAAAACAAGCTAAAATACGGTGAGCATGCGCTGCTGGGAGTCGCCCTTTACGTATTAACGTCACATGCATAGACTCAAAAAGAAGGTCCAGCTCGATGTTTACGTCTCAGATTATCTCAGACGTTATACTGATGAAGATGTGACAACAATAGCAGATAATTCACTCACATCCTCAGAAGACGTGTCCTTCACCAAGTTTTGAATCTGATAAATTTAAGTTCTTTTTGAATTTGAATTTATCTGATTCATTCTCTTGGGGAAGGGGACCAAAACACACCCCTCGCTACAAAATGCTCTTCCACACATTGCGTGCAGTTTCACATTTCCACCAGAGAGGTCTCCAAATCCCCAAAACTTACATAGTGGAGCTTTACAAATTTCTGCAGCTTTTTTTTTGTTTTTTATTTATGATTATTTTTTTTATCAGTTGCAGTTTTGTTTTTTTTTTCACACGTAAACATTATTAAAAATTAATATGCAAGGCGGATGCAAGATTCCTGCAGTTCCTGTGTTCAATGCTGCTGTAACTCTGTTTCCCAGGTGACACGTGGACGGAGACGTTGGCGTACGTCTTGTTCTGGGGCATGGCGAGCGTGGTCACCTTCGGCGTGATCCTCTTCAACGGCCGGGACTTCGTGGACGCACCCAAGCTGGTCCAGAAGGAGAAGATGGACTGAGAGTGCGTGTGTGGAAAGCAGCTGGGTCCCGTCGACTCTTCGTCCTCGTCCTCATCCTCGCTCCTCTCCCACTCTCGCCTGCGCCAGGGCTGGAGCCTGTACTGACGTCGCCTTCGTCTTCATCGTCATCATCACCCGCCGTGAGGAGGAGCGAGAGAGGAGGTGGAGGAGGAGGAAGAAGAGCAGGGGCCAGGCGGGGCCACAGGGGTGTGTTTGTGAGAGACTAGTGCGTTGACCGCACACATACAGACTCAATGCTGCGCACACTCGCTGCTCTCCACACTGCAGTTCCATGTAGGAGGACCAGCCCGTCTCTTGCTGGACAGAAGGGGGCGCTATTCCTTAGCCCATCCATGCTCAGACCCAGAGAGCCAGCAGCGTTTCTAGTCATGCAGCTTCAACGAAGCTGAAGCTTCTTATCCGCCAGAATTTTCCATTCCACCTTAAATGGTGCAGAATTCAATAAAAACTTGCAGTATCAAGAGAGAATCTAGGCTTGCGGTCAAGAATGTTTCTTAGCATATCGCTTAGTGTTGGGCTAGTGTGGGTTTAGCGATTTTTATATCGTGATACTCCAAGACATTTTTACAGAGCATGATATGCATTGCAATATTTTCTAGGTTTCACAATTTAGAACAAACAAAAAAGAACCAGTTGTGTAAAATATTACAATCAAAAACTTTGAATACAGTCAGATTTATTCAACATTTCACACTCTGCACTGTACTCAAACAGGACTAATTGTGCTCTCTTTGTAAAGAAAAAGTGCAGTTCAGTGTTTTTAAGTATTGACGATATCCACAATTCGCTCAGCAAAGCATATTGTGACGTCAGGACAATGATAAATATTGATATTATGTGCTAACATAACATTTAGATAGCTGGTGTTGTGCTAGTGTACAATTCAGGTAGCTGGTGGTAGCGTAACACTTGGATAGATGGTCTTGTACTGGCATACAATTTAGCTAGATTGTGTTAGCGTAACACCAGAGAACTTGTAGAGAGGAGAATCTCCACTCTGCAATGTCTTCTGGGTTTCTCAAACACTAGAGGGCGCTCCCGAGCGAGTCCACAATGAATGGGTTAATATGGAGCGTTTGAGCAAAATCATAGTTTATAAATGCTGAAACATTTTTAATGTAAAAGAATACAATAATTTCCTGAACACAGTACAGCATAAAACATTTTAACACTGCTGTTATATTTTTAAGAGCTTTTAAACTCGAGTTATAGGAGTTTAAAACGGCGCCTCTTGTACGTTTATGATGTCAGTGAGCGCGAACAGCCAATGAGCTGCTCCGCTCGCCAATCAATCATCACGCTTTAGCAGTAATGCCCGCCTTCTCCTGCCCAAAACCCATTCGCAGTAGAAAAAGGGAATATATATGTAAGATTTCTTTTTAGTGAAATCCATCCTTCTACTTTCTAAAAGGAAAGTTCTGGGCGAGAGATTAGAAACTATTTTAACTTTTCGTTTATAGCCATTTAGCGCCATTTACTCCCATTTACTCCCATTCATTGAGGACTCACTCGCGGGCGCCCTGTGCTGTTCAGCAGTCCTGTTTTTGATATAATGGGGGAAATAGGAAGTGGCCAGACTCCTCATGAACTGGCTCTGGTAACACTTGAATAGACAATCTTGTGCTTGCATACAGTTTAGGTAGCTGGTGCTAACGTAACACTTGGCTACCTAGTGTTGTGCTAGCATAACATTTAGGTAACTGGTGATGTGCTACTTATAATAACACTTACATAACGTTCTGTCATAATCTGACATCTGGCATAACTTGTAGCTGTCCAGTCAACTGCTGCTTGTTTGCCAGTTTGACACACCTGAGTCATTTTAACTCTTTCTTTGCATTCAGTCTTATTTATTCATCTTGGCTTACCAGCTAGGTAATAACTTTATCTACAAACACATAGCTAGAATAACTAACTCTAATCGCTAGGCTTAGCTACCCAGCTAATAAGTTTAGCTACAATCTGGTAGCACAATAAAACCTTATAACCGCTAAAGGAGCGCAAACATAAACCATGGTATGCCTTGAAACTGCAGGTCTAGAACTACTGCTGGTTCACCAGGTCTGCGAATGGATGATGTTGGGGTTACATTGGTGAGACCGGACCCCAAACCCTTTAACACTTCAAGGACTTCCCATACAGCTGTTTTTAAATGGTGTCAGCTCTAGAAACGTAGTCGAACTTTTACAGACATATACACAAAAGTCGGGTTTTGCTGTCCAAAGAAAACCTTGGATGTCCAGAACTGTAACTTCATAGAATGTTGAAAAAAGGTCCTAAATAACTGTTAATAATACAGAATTTAATTTTTTGTTGATCTTGGACCATTTCTGTTGGTCAGTTCGTCATGAAATGTTGGCTCGATCTGAAAGCCAGGTGCTGTTTTCAAATGGTGGGGAAAAGTAAAAAAAAATTATACATCGACTTACAAGGTTTTCTTAGCAAACTGTTGGAGGATTCTGGGTTTTACTGAAGGGTAACATCCATAAGGCTACATGACACCTATATAAGCCTTGGACAACTGATGTTAATCTATATGAACATTTATAAAGGCTTATTTCAACAAGCCTCAGGTGAAATGACATTAAAATTGATGAAAGTAACCTTCAGCTGACGCTTGCTGAAATAAGCCTTTATGTATGTTTACGTCGGGTTATGTCTGTTGCCATGAAAGTCCCAAGTAGGTGTCATGTAGCCTTGCACAGTGTTACCAGGTACATGATCTTATGTTTTGCCACAAGGTTCCTGGCCCCAACCTTTCTGGCACAAATACACAAATTCACTCTCCAGTGGACGTTTTTAATGGGCATGCTAATCTGCTGATTCATACGTCTCACGTTTTTTGCCAAATCTGTGTTGAAAATGATCTTATATTCTGCATCTGTACTGAAAATGCCTTTGTATTCACCACACCGATGTTTTGCCAGCTTTTACAAGGTTCTGGAGCAGACCTCAGCCAGAGACTGAAAATGGTTAAAGTGTTATTTAATGTGTGGCATATTTAAATTTTTTGCCTTTTATTTTTAATGTTATGGTCTTCCCTCCGTCGTTTGTCTGTTTATGATTAAGTGAAAAGTTTTATCTGAGGTCCAGCACTATCACGACCTGGTGGGTGGACAGCGAGTTCTGTTTGGTACGGTTAGAACGTGTCCTGGACCACCATCGTAAACTGAGGCTAGTATAGCCTAATAATATGAACTACAACAGACAGCGGGACCAAGAGTCTTAAACGAATAGTTTGTTGAAAAATAAACTATAAAATTGCCTTCTTACCCTAAATGTGATAATGAAGTAAGACATGTTGGGTGTCGGACGTAGCTTCTTTAGCTTAGCATTGAAGCTACGAGGCTAATGTAGCTAAGGTAAATGTTATATAAATGAGAGCTACATAAAAATGGACATGTTAGTAGAGAACCGTGTCCTACAGTGACAGAAACCACATTAAAAAGTGTTTGAAATTACTGAACAACCTGATTCAACCTGCCTTAACTGATTTATGTGGTTTACACGATGCTAGCTGTTTCTAAGCTTCCGCTACTTGCTGGCTACGTTAGCCTTGTAGCTCCAGTGTAAAACTAAAAAAAGCAAACTCAAGACACCAAATGTGACTTGGCGGATCAGCTATAGGTGGTAATGGACGTAAATTAGTGTTTTTAGCAAACTATTTTGTTAGCCTGCCGTAGCCTCAGAGCTCAAGTTGGTGCCCGAGTTTACAGTGTGGGAGAAGCGGTTAGCCGCTGAGCCGTGCCACGTTTCTGTTGCCTGTCTCGGTCTTTCCCCCCGTCCTCCCTGTATATTTGTCCTTAACGTTAAGTTGTTTCCTCTGTTGAGTGTGTTTATTCTCAGTGTTGGGGGGTTTTCGTTGTAGCCTTGTAATTCCACATGGGTCTGCCTTAAGCTGGGAAAGGGAGTGCTAACACACGCGAGGGAGACGTGTACATAAAGATCATCGCTCTGTGTTTTAGTGCAAGATTTCACTGGTATGTCTTGGATCTGCCTTATCAGAGAATGTAAAACGAAATACCTGGTAATATTGTTATTAAAATGAAAATCTGATATTGTGCTTCCGTTCCGTTAATGTACTTTGAGTTTTTAGCCAGTCTGGTCAGTTCCGTGATGGGTTTTATGCCGTGTTGGACTTACTTAGCTGCATTCAACACCGCTTACTAATGTAGTTGTGTTATAACTGAAGTTTGGGGGGGCAACATGCCTGAAACCCCTCTTTCTTCCAATCTAACACCCTATAAATTCACATCCTCGCCTTACATTCCTGTGACGAAGGGTTCGCAATCCCCTCCGCCACCCCATCTCCTCCCAGTTCCTCAGTCCTACTACAGATATGAGGGGGTCTGGCCTTCTAGAGACAGGCAGAAGCCCAGAACTCCAGCCCAAGTTCTCCGAGTTCCTCCTTCTCTCAGAGAACTTGCAGAGAGGAGAATTACCACTCTGTAATGTCTTCCGGGTTTCTCAAACACTAGAGGGCGCTCCAGAGCGAGTCCAGAATGAATGGGTTAATATGGAGCGTTTGAGCAAAATCATAGTTTATGAATGCTTTAATATTTTTAATGTAAAAGAATACAATCATAATTGACTGAACAGTGAACAGCATAAAACATTTTAACACCGCCGTTATGTTTTTAAGGGCTTTTAAACTCGAGTTATAGGAGTTTAAAACGGCGCCTCATGTACGTTCATGACGAACAGCCAATGAGCTGCTCTGCTCGCCAACCAATCAGCACTCAGTAGCAGTAATGTTAGCGTCCTGCTGCCCAAAACCTGTTTGCTGTAGAATAAAGGAAACATACAGGTGAGTTTTCTTTGCTTTTTTAGTGAAATACATCCTTCTACTGTCTAAAACTAAAGGAAAGTTCTGGTTCAGTGATTAGAAACTATTTTAACTTTTCGTTTTTAGCCGTTTAGCTCCATTCACTCCCATCCTTTGAGGACTCATTCGCAGGCGCCCTCTGCTGTTTAGCAGTTATGTTTTTGACATAACGTGATGATATAATGTAGATGACATGCAGAATATGTGCCAAAATGAAAAGCAAAACCTCTTATTACATGCTTTTCATGTTGCTTGTCCTCTTTTTTGTACTTTAAATGTATCTGACTCATTGAAATGCAGCCGAAACAGTGAAATGCAGAACACACACACGATGGCATTTGAACAGTAACATGCATAAAATGTTCTAAAATTGAAAGTAAAAGCTGCTTTACGTTGCCCTGATGCTGTGAAGCACAGCAAGCTGGAAAACAATAGCCATGAATACCAGAGTTCCCAAAGGGAAGGTGAATTAGAGATTCGGATATAACACCAACAGCAGCTTTTGAGAGAGAGAGAGAGAGAGAGAGAGAGAGAGAGAGATACTGAACCCACCGGTGCTGAAGCAGAAGAACCCAAAGCAAATAGAAATATATGCTGTCAACAACAAACTACTTGCTACTCTACTCACCAGTTTACAGGGTAGGACTTTGTTTACATCTAAACACTTGAATGATTAAGTAATTTTGCAAAATCGGTGAGGTTCCCCTTTAAAAGCTAGAACAGGGGTCGGAACCCCAAATGTTAAGAAGAGCCATTTTGTCCTTTCAACAAAAATCAAACCACCTTGGGAGCCTCAACATTTAATGTCCATTTTACCATCTTGACAGTAAATATGTCTCAGTTTGTGCTGATATACAGGCTAAAAAGTACATACATACATACATCATCTAAACCGCTTATCCTTCTGGGTCGCGGTGGGTGCTGGAGCCTATCCCAGCTGTCATTGGGCGGAAGGCGGGATACACCCTGGACAGGTCGCCAGTCCATCGCAGGGCAGACAGACAGACAGACACACACAGTCACACTCACACCTAGGGGCAATTTAGCATGTCCAATCAGCCTGACTGCATGTTTTTGGACTGTGGGAGGAAACCGGAGTACCCGGAGGAAACCCACGCAGACACGGGGAGAACAGGCAAACTCCACACAGGAATGACCCTGGTCACCCGGCCAGGAATCGAGCCCAGGCCCTTCTTGCTGTGAGGCAACAGCGCTACCCACTGCGCCACCGTGCCGCCCAGGCTAAAAAGTTATAAACAAAAATACAGACTTACTTTGCTCTGCTTTAAGCTTTAGCTCAGCTATAGTTGCTTTTCTCGCATCTCCAGCAGGAAACTTTTCCACAAAAGTAGAACAATTTCTCGTAAAACGTCTTTCAACGTTCGATTTTTTTACGAGGCTAAAATCAGCTTCTCGTTCAAATTTTCCCGCCAGAATGTAACTACTGTACAGTTTAAGGCGGAACGAAAAAATTTAAATGAGAAGCTGATCGAGAAACTGAGTTCAGCCTTGTAACTTTTTAGTGTTTGTCAGTTTCTAATCTGCAGATTAAACGTATCAGGAAACCAGCTGGAGTGATTATAAACACAGATAAGTCCATTCGTCTCCAAATTATTGGTGTTCGCCTTAAATCTCTCTCTTTCTCCTGTCGTTAAGTTACTAGCTAGGCGAGACGGTTGTCTGCGTTGCTGAGTGACCTGCAGTCTGCACGCCAACCTTCAGAGTTATAGGGTGTGAATTAGCAGCATTTAAGACCATTTATTGTTAAACTGTGTTGATCGATCAGCAGAGCTTTATTTTACTGCTGTGGAGCCACAACAGGACAGTAAAAGAGTCATTTAAAGACAAGGCAGCGTGCCTCATCTAAGGAAGCTTCCTCTTTAAAATGATTTTTGATGATGTCACCATGCATAAGGGGGACGGGGAAAACTAATATAAACCAATAATTTCATATTTCACCTCCCCCCCCACCTATCAGCTAACTTAGAGACCCTCCCTGATATGGACCCTCCACTAATATGTCCCAGAGCAGGAGGAGAATGAGTTATGGTTTATGACTCATGTTGACTTTGAAGATTCCTCGACGCTGTGGAAGAAAACCTGACGTTCCTCCGCTTATACAGATACTTAAGCTTGGCAAATGACAATCCACCAACCTTCTATAATTGTGCACTGTGGCTCCTCTGAGACAAAAGTTTGGGCACCACTGTAAAACCCAATAATGTAATAACACCCAGAAATATGATTACAAATTGAACTTGTTTGAACCAAATAATGTATAATGTATTGCTTCAGTGATGTCTGTAAATAATGGTAATTATCAGACTCGCTCCAGTGATTGGATCGTATTCAGGTACAGAGAGTTTTTACTGAACTGGGAAAATCTGCCTTTAGTTCCAGCACCAGTGAGCTGGACCCTCACTACAGGAACCACTAGAGCTCAGCTCGCTGGGTCACTCAGTCACTTTACACTCTTACTGTCTAACCACCTCCACTCTGTCTGCAGCTGTTTTACCTGATTTTTCACTATTATTGTCTTATTTTCATTATTCTTTATTTATTTATTCATTTATTTATTGTTCATATTCTTATTTTTATTTTAATTACAATTATTTTATTATTATTTTACTCATTTTAATAAATTTTTAGTATTCTTTTTGATCTTATCCTCCTTCTGTTTTATTTATCTTACTTTGATTTGATTAACTTCTACATTTTAGCTATGTTGTAATTATTGTTTTATATTTTCTACTGTATTTTTACGTATTTTTATTATTAATGTTAATTCTTTTTATACTTACCTGATTTGAGTCATTTTTTTTCATTTACTTTTATTATTTGATATGTTCTTAACATTATCAATCCCTTTTTCCTGTATCAACTCAGCAACATTGTAAATGAGGGTCACCCTCGATGTTCTCCGAGGTTAATAAAGGCTGATTGATTGATGACTTACTTAATAATTTAATAAAATGTCTTAACCAATAATGTAATAGCATTTTACAGATGCAGTACGTTATTACATTATTGGGAATATTGTTTATATTTTCAGGTTGATGCAATACCTCATTGCATAATTGTCGCTTTACAAATTGATCACTTAGATAGATAATACTGTAGTCTGATATTGTAAAAGTGTGCTAATTTTACATCCATATTCTACGTGTAACGTTTCAGAATGTTGAGAAAATGACAAATGGTCACTCAGTGGCAGTTTAAAATAAGATTAAAATAAAAAAGTGACCAACTTGTGGAAAATCCAATTCCCAATAATGCAGTTCGTTATTACATCAGTACAAATGCTCTTACGTTGTTGGTCAAGAAATTTTATTACATTATTAGATACATTACATTATTACATTAGCAGATTTTAGCACATTTTGACAGGTTAACTGCGTTTTAATCACATTTCTGGGTGGGAGGTTTTGGCGTTAGTGAGTTGTAGTGCTCCTGGTGTAGAGACTGTGAGTGGCCTGTGGGGGCAGCAGAGCGCTGGAGCGGCTGCAGCGCTGCGGAGGAAGAAGAGGCTGTAGCAGCGAGCGGTGTTGCTGTTTTGGTCACAGAGATAAAAGTTTCCACTGAAACTGCAGAAAAGCTTTAAAGTCCACGATTATAAAGGTACGACACATATAATCAGCTTTATATTCATTTATGAACGATTGTGGCGTTTTTCTGTGTTCAGAACCACCGGTGAACCTACACGTGTCTGAATGTGTGTTTATGGGATGTTGATGATGGAAAATCTGAAATAATTTGGGGACTATTTCGCCTGACAAGACCCTGCATGTGTCCCTCCGCCATGAATTGATTTAAAAACATATATTTTAGGCCCAGACGATCAAAACGATCAAAAAAAGTGTCTCAGTCATCAGGCAGTGAATTCACAACCATTTCATGTAGGTTAGTAACTTTGTGTTAGGGAGCTTTTAGAGGTGGACGTCTGGTTCCTATCACCACCACTGTGAACAGTTCTGACTCTGTAAGTTTCTCTAGAACAGAGCATTTCACACCAAACCACTCTGAACCACTCTGTTTACATCTTAACCACTTAATTATGCAGAAATTTTGGAAATTGGTGGAGTTTCCCTTCAAATAGAGCAGCATTATGTATGTGCGTGCGTGTGTGTGTGTGTGTGTGTATATATATATATATATACACACACACACACACAGAACCATGAACACTAAAAGAACCCTTTGCATGATTAAAGGGTTCTTTGCATGTTCAACGGATTCTTCAGATTGACTGAGAATGTGCTGCAGATGGTTCTTGAAACATATGTGTATTTTTATACATACACACACACCCACACACACACACACACACACACATATATATATATATGTGTGTGTGTGTGTGTGTGTGTGTGTGTGTGTGTGTGTGTGTATATAAATACACATATATATGTTTCAAGGCCTACTACAAGTGCCTATGTTTTAAATATAGCACCAAAAAGGGTTCTGGTACTGTTACAAGCTCATATCATAACAGTAATAGAATCCTTTTTGGTGCTATATGGAACCTTTTCCAAATAGGTTCTGTTTTAACGTGCCTGTGCTTTTATTATCCTCAGTGTTGTTTTCTGGGGCTTCAGGGCTGAAGAGCAGTTTCACTGAACCTGGTCCATGAATGAGGCCTGAGAAATGTTTCCAGACTTGAACAGCATCCTGAGCAGCAGCCCGGACAACTTCAGAGAGGTACTTCATCCACCCTTCCTCTTCACTCCACTCTGTGATTGCTTTAACTAGGCTGTAAATACAGTCTATTAATGAACTCACTCTTTCCTTTTTTCTTGGTGGTTATAGAGAGAATTCATCCTGCTGTCTGACAGGCAGGCAGATGCTTCTTTCCTCATTCATCATTACCTCACCTTCTACTTGAGGGGTGAGTGTTTACAGCACCATCCGATAGAGTCTGGCTGGAGACAGATGCACCCTCAGCCACAGTGGCAGAAGCCGCCCAACGGCACGGGAACTTTTGGCTGCTTCTGCTTAGCGACATCATCACTTCGTCCATTTTTCGTCCATAACACAGCGAGAGAATTCAGTCAATGTACCTCCCTGCTGAAAAACATCATAGAACCCATTAAAAGTGTCTGCTGGTTCCTGGTGGTGTCCCAGGAGTCACTACTGGTATCCTGGGTTTTTCTGATGGGTTGATATCACAGTGTAAAGGATTCTGATCATTCTGATTCCTGATACATTCGGTCGTTTCCTAAAGGTCTCTTTTGTCTCCATCTTGGCTTTCATGAGTTTCAGCAGGAGCCTGTTTGTTTTTTCTGCTAGTAAACCCGACATTGTTTTATCGTCGTGGCAGGTTTTATTTTGAAAGTTTACATATTTAATTACATTATTAGACAACAGTTAGTTCTGGCCACGCAAGCTGATTGGTTGAGAAGCGTTCTAACCGTGCTGATATTTCCCCATAATGTCACGGGTTTTTCATAAACACTGTATCACTCCGCTGATATGCTTTTGCTAAGCAACAACTTTGATAGAAGACAGGCAAGACATTTGAACGTTTTTACTTCTTACTTTGCCGCAAACAGAAAATGGACACTTTTAAGATCACATTTGACCGACAGACGATTTGGACCGACTCTGAAGATGAGACTACACTAAATTCCCAAACGGTCAGTTGGTCTGTGTGGAGCTGGAGAACGAACTGCCGGCTGTGCAGCGAGTGGGCGGAGCTCGTTACTCTGACGTAGCAACAAGCTGCTCGTTAAGGAACTATAATTTGGTGAAGGAACTGCGAACATTAAAACATATTAAACGCCGCGTTCACGACCCAGTTTATTAATTTATTACTGTATTTATTTAACTGTTGTATTAAAGCAATAGAACACTCGAGGAGTGTGTTATCACCAATAACATCACGGCTGTGATGATCTACGGCGACCAAATCACAGCCGTGATGTTATTGGCGATAACACACTCCTCGTAGAGTTCTATTGCTTAATGATCAGTATGACAACTCTAATACACATTCAGTGTAGCTCCTGTTGCCCAGCAGTACGTGGTTCACTGTTTTTCCTCATAAACAGACAAAGACAGACAAAATCACTGTTGTGGCAGGACGTGAACTAATAGGCTAGCGGTGCATGTCAGGCTGAGAGTGCATGTCTACAGCCAGACCTTCTCGAACCATCAGTGTACAGTTCAGGTCCTTCATGGATTCTGTTTGCTGTGACCTTTTGTTAAGTGTGTGTTTTAACTGGTGTTTTGTTTTCGCAGCTCGCTGTAAGGTGTGCTTTCTGGGTCTCGTACAGTCCTTCAGTCATTACAGTGTTGTGAGTCAAAGGCTGGTAAGTCCTAACCAGCAGACTGTGCCCTTCCTTGTTCACAACCGAACCAAACGTCATATCTCCATTTTTGACGTTTTCAGTTTTTGACATAATATGAAAATACCTGTTACCCTTGACCTTGTCTGTAAATTTCATGATGAATGGACCAGAAGAAACGACCCAAAATGGCTTGGAAAAATGTCTGGTTTCATTGACTTACATTAAAAGTAGAGTATGTTTTTTCCTTCTCCTGTAAAGTTACCATTTTGGAGACACTAGGTTTTCTTCCGACAGCAGCGATGTTTCAAACCCTGCACTTACAGGCTTATTTATGGGCTTATTACTTTTGTTGCATCTCTACACTCTTAAAAAAGATGGTTCTTCGTGGTTAGTAAACACAGTGGCCCATTTTCATGAAGACACGGTAAATAAGTGAGGAATCTGATCCTAGATCAGCACTCCTGCCCGCTGCCCTTCATGAATCTGGGCCAGTGGTTCTATCTAGAACCAATAACACTCAAAGAACCATTTGCATGATTAAACGTTTCTTTGCATGGTGAAATAGTTCTTCAGATTGATGGAGAATGTGCTGTATATGGTTCTATATGCAACATTTTTGAATAGGGTTTTATGTAGCACTGAAAAAGTTCTTGTATGATAATAAGCTTGACTTCGTCTCCTCTGCAGACCAGTTTCTGCTCCGCCATGTTGAACGGTATAAACTTTCACTATGACGTGACGAACATGATCAGAATAGACTTAAACTTTCCGATAGGGAATGTAATCAGATACAGGCGTTTACACGGATATTATTCTTCTATTTAACAGATTATTTACAGGATTACCCACCTCGATCAGTCGGATAGAAACTGTAATGGCCTCAATCTGACCAGTCTGTTCCTAGTAGCTATTAGTCGGATTGTTAACGAATTATTAGGCTTCATGTAAATGTGGCTAGGGTGAGTTTAAATTCAGCCCAATATAGTGTTATATAGTTATGTAATAGTGTTCATTGGTGCATCCCAAAACAGAAACCATTGGCAGGTGCTGAAGCAACAGCCCATTGACTTCTGTTATAAGTGTGTTTGTAGTATTCACGCTTTCTGCTCTTTTCTAAGTACAGAGAAGTGTGTCAAGAATTATTGTCCATGATAATCAACCATATGTTACAGATGCAGCAAAAATGCAGAAAAAAATGCTAAAGTATTTCTTTAAGGCTTATTATTCAGCAACTATTTTGAATTATTTAGTATCTACTATAAAGTGTTCACTAACTACTATGAACTACTCAGTATCTGCTATGAATAATACCTTAAGGGGTTAAAGCCTGTGCTTTGTGCTGTATTGCAGGGGGTGAATCTGAACCAGGCGAAGGAGAAGGGTCAGCTGGTTTTTCTTGAAGGACTGAAAGCTTCTCCTAGAGTTCTACTCAACGAGGACACCAGCGATACGACCCACACGTTTGATTATCTCAGGTCAGTGAGCCGCAGGACACTGAGCACGTTTCTCGCCCTCCTGCTGTAGACGTGCGCTGACGGTCCCGCCGTGTTGGCTGTGTCTGTGTTCAGGTCTCCGTGTGCTGAGCTCAGAGGTCTGTTTGAGTTTGTGTGTAATTCGCTGAGTCAGGGTGGGAGTGAGGCTGGAGGTGAGCCGTGGGCTCCACCTGTCCTGATTATAGATGACCTCAGCGTGCTGCTGAGTTTAGGCGTCAGCGCTGGAGCCATACTGGACTTCACCCACTACTGTCAGGCCACCGTCTGCTCCCAGTTACAGGTGAGTTATCAGATGTAGTTGAAGTGCTTTGGTGTGTAATTTATGAGTTCCAGTAACAGCAATTGCTGATTTTTCACGTTGCAGCTCCAAGTCTTTGTCTGTAATTGAAATGTGAGACCAATAATAATATAAGTTTTCCTGTTTACTGGTGCTTAATGCATGGACTGTGGATATATTGTACATAGTGCACTGTAAATATACAGAAAGAACTTTTATGTTTAAAGTCAACTTGAAATCAAAACGGACGGCTCGTTCATTTTTATCCAAATGCAGTGACCTTTTGCCCCGTTTCTAAAATCTAATCTTCAGGTTTTTGATTACATCACCAAGCACCGTGACTTCTTGCCTCTTCTGCCGTGTCACATTTTTGCCGGTGTGAGTGTAGCATACTGAATTAGAATTAGGCCCAGTTCCATTTCACCCCTCGCCCCTACCACTCAGCCCTACCCCTCCGTTCTGAGTGTTCTAGTCTAGGAGTAGGGTGTCCCGATTCTTGTTGAGATAGAGGGGTAGGGCGAAGTGTTAGGGCTACATGACCCTCCAAACGGGGGTTTTTTAGAGACTCCAAACAGAGAGTTATGAGAAAAAAAGAAAAAACGGTAAGATGGTGCAAAAGAGACCAAAGAAACCCACAAATGTGAGAATTTTCACTGTTAAAAAATTATGATAACCACTGTATTATCTTAGTTTAATGTCGTTTCAGTGTATTATGGTCCTTTTCTTCATAACAAGCATAAAAATCACTAGTAGTGCTGACGTCCTGGTATCTAGCTAAATTTCCTGTTCCACCTTAAATGTTGCAGCAGTTACATTCTGGCGCCTCAGACATCAGAACTGCTGCACCATTTAAGGTAGAAAATTCAAATAAGAAGTTGGTGAATCTCTCAGCTTCATATCACTGAAGAATTAGGGGTGGGCGATAATAAATAATTGCCCCCCTCTTTGAAGTCATACGATGCCCTAAATGTAACTAAAGCCCAGCAGTGAGGAGCTGAACTTTACCCTCCTCTGCTGTCACTGCAGACTGGCAGGGTCGCCTACAGAGCAGCGCTGGTAGCTGTTAATGAAGTGATGCTCTGTTTATTTGAGGGTCCCACTTCAGAGGGAAGATTTCAACCACTACAACTTGTAACTCAGTTCCAAGAGGCAACACTCAAAAACAAGTGGTAGAGGTAAAAACGATGACCAAGTGCAAATTGTCATCTTGAACACAACGGATCAGCCAAATATCAGATTTACAAAACTGCAAAGTTCAGACAAAATCAGGGTTCCAGACGGCTGCTACTACAGCTGTTCTTAGCTAAGCCACATACTTCTGTCTATGATGTTAGATTACAGGGGTTCAGACAGGAAACCACATAATCCAGTCTATTAGAGATCACAGAACAACTCCACACGGTTTGAAGTGTCTGTAGTTTTACCGATGCTAATTGTTGGGTTTATATGCTTTAATTACTAGTTATTTGTTAGTTACATTCGCTGCAGGTCAGTGCAAAACTAGAGAAGTAAACTTCATTTCAGAGTTTCAGAGTTTGTTATATTTGTATAGTGTGAACCAAATAGAAATCACAGCCTGTATTTATTCTGTATTTAGATTGAAGAGAGCTGATCCTAGACCATAATATTATAATAGTAATAATAATATAAATAATAAATATGTTAAAAATAAATAAGTATTTTGTTATTGGTCTGGTTTGTGTCCAGGGTTCTATAGTAGCTCTGGTGCGATGTGATGATGAGGAGTGGGATGAAGAAAGCTCCAGCTACCTCCTGAAGGCTCTCACTCATCAGTGCAGCCTGTCTCTGCGTGTGGAGGGGCTTTCCACCGGCTACTGCAGGGACATTCACGGACAGGTACTGATCTAGACTGCTGATTGGCAGTTTCAGTCTCCATTTCCCAAACGCTTTAGCCGAGCGCGCTAACGTTACTCCTCCTAATAAACAGACACACGTTCAGCTCCGTCTCCTCATTATTCACCACCATCACTGTAATATTTCATCATCAACATTAACACACGAAGGTGATCAGAGGGGCGGTGGAGATCGAGTCTGCAGCGTCTGAGATCTTTAAAACGCAGAGTTAGAAAGAAAATCATCTCACAGTGAAAGCAGCGTTTTACAGTAGGAATAAATGGAGCTCATTATGCTGGTAGTGAACTATGCTGCTGACTCAGCTGCCTAAAAACCATAGAAACGGACCTTAAACAGAAGTGAGGACCCTGTTGGGGTTCATCCTAAAGTTAGGACAGGATTTAGGAGGTTTAGTCTAGTTAGGATGTTTGTGTGATGCTGTTTTCTAATCTGGAGTTGATGATGAGATTATGAAGTTAGGAGCTGTTATTCTGGAATAGCTACTGTCCCAAATTCAGTCCGTACTGAAGTCGTCATGGAGACTAAACAGATCAGATCTGAGAGTTAAGAAGCTTCTGTAATACGATGTCTGGTGTGCTGAGAGCTGCTCCAGACTTCAGTACTGCTCTGTGATGTGTTTCAGGTGGAGATCTGGCGGCGAGGGAGAGCCGAGGAAAACCAGCGGAGGGTTTTTCAGTACAAAGTTCACGACAAGGGGGCGTCCTTCTTCGCGCCGGGGACTTCGAGAGCAGTACTTTAACAGTTTCACCAACTGATGGACTTGTTCTACTGCTCTGACATTTTGCTCAGCCATCTCCAAACTCTGTGTCACTGCAGTCATTTATAGTGTTTATATACACCGATCAGGCATAACATTCTGACCACCTCCTTGTTTCTACACTCATTGTCCATTTTATCAGCTCCACTTACTATATAGCTGCACTTTGTAGTTCTACAGTTACAGACTGTAGTCCATCTGTTTCTCTGATACTTTGTTAGCCCCCTTTTACCCTGTTCTTCAGTGGTCAGGACCCCCATGGACCCCCACAGAGCAGGTACTATTTGGGTGGTGGATCATTCTCAGCACTGCAGTAACACTGACGTGGTGGTCGTGTGTTAGTGTGTGTTGCGCTGGTGCGAGTGGATCAGACACAGCAGTGCTGCTGGAGTTTTTAAACACCTCAGTGTCACTGCTGGACTGAGAATAGTCCACCAACCAAAAATATCCAGCCAACAGCGTCCTGTGGGCAGCGTCCTGTGACCACTGATGAAGGACTAGAGGATGACCAACACGAACTGTGCAGCAGCAGATGAGCTATCGTCTCTGACTTTACATCTACAAGGTGGACTGACAAGGTAGGAGTGTCTAATAGAGTGGACAGTGAGTGGACACAGTGTTTAAAAACTTCAGCAGCACTGCTGTGTCTGATCCACTCGTACCAGCGCAACACCCACTAACACACCACCACCACATCAGTGTTACTGCAGTGCTGAGAATGATCCACCACCCAAATAGTACCTGCTCTGTGGGGGTCCATGGGGGTCCTGACCACTGAAGAACAGGGTAAAAGGGGGCTAACAAAGTATCAGAGAAACAGATGGACTACAGTCTGTAACTGTAGAACTACAAAGTGCACCTATATAGTAAGTGGAGCTGATAAAATGGACAATGAGTGTAGAAACAAGGAGGTGGTCAGAATGTTATGCCTGATCGGTGTACAGCACTGTGTATAAATCAGACATGAAAACTGTTTATCTGGGCAGCGATCTCTAAACTTGCCCGTTCATGTTAGATACTGTTGAAATTCTTAGTAAAAATGCAGAGAACACACTTAAACATTGTGTTTTTTCTGCACGTTGTAATGCATGGTTTCTATTAATTTGCTGAGTTTAACATATTGGAAAAAATAAAACAGTAGAATATGAGCCATAACTTTTGCAAAACCAAGCACAAACACGGTAAAAACATCGTCTGCAGCTTTAAAGGAAAATTCAGGCCCAATCCCATTTCACCCCTCGCCCCTACCACTCAGCCCTACCCCTCTGTTTTGCGCGTTCATGTCTAGGTGTAGGGTGTCCTGATTCTTGTTGCCTTCAAATAACCCTATTTGAAGGCATATTTTAATTTGAGGGGCCCATTTTGGAGGGAAGTATTTCAACCACTACCTCTTGTAACTCAGTTCCAAGGAGCAAGGGGACACTCGAAAACAAGGTGTAGGGGTGACAATAAGAAATGGGACTGGACCTCAGATTATGAGACTCTGATAGCCAGTGTGATACATGCAGTCTGTCTGTGATTCCCGCTGCTGTCATCGGTCGGCTTGAAAAGCTGAAATCACTCATTAGAAGGGCTGTCCGGGCAATTTTGGACATAATTTCCCCTAAAGTTCCTGATGTTTGATTATGCTTGTATATTTGTCCTGTAAAAAGCATGTAAAGCATACAGAAAATAAACCATTACTGTACATTGGGGAGCTGTTCAAATGAGTGAGAGTCTGGGCTGTAGTGGCTTCACCATCCACATATAGTGATGTGCAAATGTTTGGGCACCTCTGGTCAAATTCTAGGTGAGAATCAGTTACACATCCTCTACAGAGACACGTCTGCACATTTTAATACACAATTACTGTTTATTTACTGAATTTAACATATTTCCAGTATGTTAATGTGTGAAAAATGCTACATTTAAGTGTGTTCTTATTCTCACTTAGAACTTAGGAAATCAACACCTTGGAGGGTTCTAAGTTTGGCATACGACTGTAGAAGACAGTGTTGTGTCTTCATATCTATATGTTTAAATTTACTATCAGAGTTTGTTTTCGAGCTCAGTCGCACTGAAAGTTTGTTTTTGCTTAAGTTTCACTGGTTGATTAAGTTCCTGTTTACATGATTTATCGTTTGTAAGGCTCTGCTTCGCAGCCAGTGAATAGAAGTAAATGTTTCCAAATGCTGTTTACTGAAGGTTTAATCTGGTACTAAGGGGCAGTTCCACCAGTTTTTCAAATTTTTGGATAATTAAGTGGTAAAGATGTAAACAGAGTGGTTTGGTGTGAAACGCTCTGTTCTAGAGAAACTTACCGAGTCAGAACTGTTCACAGTGGTGGTGATAGGAACCAGACGTCCACCTCTAAAAGCTCCCTCACAGAAAGTTACTACATGAAATGGTTATGAATTCACTGCCTGATGACTGAGACAGTAGTTTTGAGAAGATTCTTATCTGAAACGTATTATTTAAAAGTTATTAACTGGCAGAGACGTACATGTACGGCAAAATAGTCCCCAAAGAAAACGAACTATTTCAGATTTTACCATCATCAACATTCCATATAAACTCAGAAGACTCGTGTAGGTTCACTGGTGGTTTTTGATAGTAAATAAAATGTCTATATCTGTGTTGTAGTCATGGCGACCCCTGGTTCCTATCACCACCACTGTAAAGACATCTGAACCATTTCACACCAAACCACTCTGAATCTCTCTGTTTACATCTCACACACTGAATTATGCAGAAATTTTGAAAAATCTGTGGAATTCCACTTTAAAGGGCCCATATCATGGAAAAATCTAATTTTCCTCACTTTTTTCTTTAGGAATGATTGAGTTTCATGCAGTACGTAAACCTGATTAAACTCACCTCCCAGACCTCAATAGAAAATATAATCTGCAAAAACAGCCTGTTTTGAATTTATTGTTTTGTGATGTCATGAAAACCAACAAATGTATGCGTATACATACTTCATGAGGAGATTCTGCCCAGGCTGCTTGATAAATGAGGCACAATTCAGGGTGACCAATCAGAACAGAGCTCATTTACATTTTACCAGTCTTGTATTAACAGCCTGTTTAATTGTAAGGGACCTTATGGAGGAATATTATATAAAATTCTAGAATATGGGCCCTTTAACTCTGACTGGGGCCTTTTAACCTCACAGTGCTACAGTTTATTTTACTCAAACGTGTGAAATGTGCCGTCATGAAGCCTTTAGTAAAGACGGTGATGAAGTGAATCTTGTTACGCTCTTAAAAAAATGGTTCTTCAAGGGTTCTTTATTAAAAACAATGGTTGTATATAGAACCTTGAACACTCCAAGAAACTTTTACATGCTTAAATGGTTCTTTAGATTGATGGGATAGAGTGAGTTTTATATGGTTCAATATAGCATGATGTCACGCTTGTAACAGTAGAAAAGCCCTTTTTGGTGCTGTATAGAACCATACACAACACATTCTCCATCAATCTGAAGAACCGTTTCACCATGCAAAGAGCCATTTAAGCATGCAGATGGTTCTTTGAGTGTTCATGGTTCTATATAGAACTGTACACAACACATTCTCCATCACTCTGAAGAACCATTTCACCACACAAAGAACCATTTAAGCATGCAGATTGTTCTTCAGGCGTTCTTTAGTAAAGACAGTGGTTCTATATAGAACGATGAACACCTAAAGTACCATTTGCATGCTTAAATGATTCCTTGCATAGTGAAAGGGTTCTTCAAAGTTCTATGTAGAACCATATACACAACACATTCTCCATCAATCTGAAGAACAGTTTCACCACGCAAAGAACCATTTAAGCATGCAAATATGGTTCTATATAACACCAAAAAGGGTTCGTCTACTGTTACAAGCTTGACATCATGCTATATAGAAACATATACAGCACGTTCTCAATCACTCTGAAGAATAATTTCACCACACAAAGGACCATTTAAGCATGCTAATGGTTCTTCAGGCGTTCTTTAGTAAAGACAGCGGTTCTATATAGAACGATGAACACCTAAAGAACCATTTGCATGCTTAAATGGTTCCTTGCATAGTGAAAGGGTTCTTCAAAGTTCTATGTAGAACCTTATACACAACACATTCTCCATCACTCTGAAGAACACTTTAAGCATTTGAGTGTTCATGGCTCTGTACAGAACCACTGTCTTTACTAAAGAACCCCTGAAGAACCATCTTTTTGTGTAGCAGCAGTTCCAGAGCTCTAAATGAGGCTGAAATATGGCTGAATAAATAATATCCCCTCTGTGGCCGATAGAGGTCGAGGTTGGTGCTTTCTTAGACGTGATGGGGTTGAAGTTGAGGGTTCGTGTTGTAGTTGCATACATGCTCCGCTCTCTGTCCCAGTGCTGACATGATTCTGTCAAAGTAGTGTCTGTACTTTTAACACCTTCCGGTCAGTTTTAACACCAGCTGGACATTTCAGCTGAACGGCGGGTAAAAACGTCCACAGTGGAAGAGGAGAACTAGCTGTTGGGGTAAGCAGCTTTAATCAAACGCATATACGGGCATTGGTTGGGATTTATGTCTTCTTTCGCAGAAGTTGTTAGCTTCTTACGCGAATTTTCCGTTCCACCTTAAATGGTGCAGCAGTTACGTTCTGGCGCCTGGGGCGCCACAATGTAACCGAACGGCACAGCCACACCATTTAAGGTGGAACGGAAAATTCGAATCAGCTCCGTTGTCTTCAGGCCCAGCAAGCGGGCTTGTTAGCTTTGTAACCTCTGTTATCTGTCAAAACGGACTGTTTAATGACGTTAATGGTCAGAAAAATCCCAAGAATGGTCAGCTGTTATTATTTCTCACCTACATAACCTTACAAATCAGCTACCTTAGTAGCTTTGCTTAGCGTTAGCCTAGCCTGTCGCTTAGCTTAGCACACATTTCTAGCGAGGGTAAGGCTGAACAAGCAGTAAATGTCGGTTTGTTTTTCTTGTTGTTTTCGCCAGATACGCGCCAAAATATGTATTTATATATATTTTTGCTTAAAAAGGTGCTTATTTGTGTAGTTAGCTCACCGCTAGCTGGCTAATGAAGGTTGAATGGAGCTGGTGTTGAACTGTGCACAGCCAGCTAGCAGCTCATTCGAGAAAGCTTGTTATTATTAAAGTTCGTTATATTATTATTGTTAAATTATCCGTTGTGCAAACTGCAT